TCTTAAGTGAACCCTAGTTTTTAGCAACCCAATTAAATTAAATTACTTAACCTGAAATCAGGACATCACTCACTGGTTTGATAATTTCTTCATCATGCTTTTTCTTTTTCAAAGTTTGAAAATTGGATAAAGGGAATGGTCGGGAACAGAAACTAAATATCTATGAGTTTACAATGAGAGTGAAACTTCTCTATAAATGCTGGGCCATCATATGATCCCTAGAAAGATGCTGAGCTGACATTTAGGGTTTAAACTAAAGAGCTGTCATCCACTTCCTTCTGGACTTTACATTTTAAAGACTCAGCGTCAATGTCTTGACTGTTGCCATGTTAGTTTTTAAAGGTAGAAGTGAGCATAACTGGAAAAGAAGTTATTAGTGCAGTCAACCACTCAGCAGGCAGCATTATTTGTCACTTACACTAAGATATTTAAATTTTTGAACAAACTGGCTGCGCGGCTCTTCTACATAAGTAGACACAGAAAACACTAGAAATCAAAATGGACCTCCAGCCTTTGTTTTCTACTCTGCATGATTCACAACTCAAAATGATCCTCCCCTCTTTAAGCTGTCTTTCTTCCGATTGGCTGCCAGTCACAAATAACAGCAAGTGGGTGGATAACTGTGCCTGTGGTTACCATGTTAGTGATGTCTTGACTATGTTATTAAGTGATTTTTCACATATTTTGGAATAAAACATTAAAAAAATACAGTTTTAATTTCAGTTCAGCATCACGTTTTGCACTTAAAATACCACATAACAGTCATACAAATGATATATGCTAATATCTTATTCAATGTCCTGCAGGTACAACACACTCAAGAATATTCAGATGATAAATGTACCTTGCAAACCTACCTGCTGAATAAATAAATCTTCAAAGAACTGCACTAATGTACAGTCCTATTTAAATCAACTTGCAGAGACCCAAAAGACTGAAAACCTGCCAGAGCACATGAAGAAATGAAGAAATAAGAAACGCAGATGCGTTCATCAAAGCAGGAGCGACTGTGAGCAGGATGCTGCTGCAACATTTGTGAAGATACCAGAATGGTCATAAGAAATGAAGATGGGGAAAATTTTACATTGAGTTCTGCTTATTTTCAGCGTGGTAGTAGTTTATCTAAAATCTAAAAATCTAAAAACACAGATAATCTGCAGCTCTTTAAGGACTGATGTGTATTCATTAAAAAACAGGCTCCCTGATCTTTAGGAACCCAGAAATCACAAGATCGTACATCTACACTGAAATGCTACATCAGATAGATAAAATAAATAATATTTAATACCACACAAAACACATAATCAGGTTTTAATTTAAAAAAAATTAGAACAACGTTATTATGACTATTTGTTTTTAATTGTTATATTATTTACTTTTATTATTACAACAACTCGCATACCAAAATAATTTCTCAAATGTGGGCTAAATTAGCAGTATTTTTTTTTTATTATAAGCGGTACTAGTAGTAGAAGTATTTATTATTATTATTCATTTACAGAATCAACGGTCCACAATTTAAAAACTTGCTTGATGTTTACAGATCATTTTCCTACAAGAAGACTGAGGCTAATGTGTCCACAGCTGGGACCAGTAGCATGTCGTCTGAAATCCTGTGAGCACATATCATTTTCAGAAGGATGAGGAATTAAATTTAAACGAGAATTCTTAATTATTCGTCAAATGTACTCCACATGCACTCCTCTGCAGTAAAAGTCTATTAGCTTTACCATTACTTTCCTTTACTACAAAGCTAATAGTAAGCTCTGGATCGGGCACTCTGAACCAACCCATAATCATGCTGCTCCTGGCTCAGACTGGATTGTGGCTACCTCTCCCTGAGGAGGTCGCTTCCTGTTAAAAGTTTTTCCTCCCCGCCATTGCCTGATCTCACAGGAGACCATCTGAACACTGAGACTGGGATTCCTCTCTAATATTGCGAGGTGTGTACCTTCCAGTATAAAGTGCTTTGAGGTCACTGTGGTTGTGAATTGGTGCTGTATAAATAAAACTCAACTTAATCATGTTGCTTTAAGTTTTATTAAACTTGCTTTCCTGTATAGTTTGTTCTCAAGCATGCAGCACACACATGGCTGTACAGTCTGTTCTGGAGAGAGAAATCTTACATGCACTCTCGCTTTACATGCATGAAACTTGCATAAGAGGATGTTTGGTTGTGCGCACATCACATGCCATCACCTCTAAATGTTCTCATCACTCATTTGATCTGTAAAAAAACTTATAAGACAGTTTAATAGAGTCATTTTTTCAAACATTTTTATCAACATAGTTATTCATATTTTTGAATGACTGCAGATGAACACAGGATGTGATCAATCAATGAAACTACACATTTACATAAGAAACTGAAATATGCTTTAAAAAGCACTAAGCGACACGAGACTCGCTTCTCTTTCATTTTCCTCTGTAGTCTTAAAACAGTCACATTATGTGCATTAGATAAAGATCAAATCCTGTTATCTTGATAACTGCTTGTCTTCTTATTTAGATGCTTTCTAAATAGTAAATGGTGAAGATACATTTTTATTACTCAGAAAAAGAAAAGAGAAAAGTGAATTCTTATGCATTTTACATCCCTGTTCTGTTCTTTTGTTATGTATTAGATTGTTTTTATAATTCATGGCACCGCTGATGCTTCTCCACCAATCAGTGACTATTACCTCAATGGAGTGTGTGTGTTAATGTTGATACAACAGAAAATAGTGTATTTATTTTAACGTTTTAATTAACTGCATGGAGAAAAGTGTCAAACACAACAAAGTAGAAATGATGAATGTCATTTTTTATCCTCTTTATGTTTTTATGTTGTGCTTAAAAATCTGGATTTTGTGCTTTTCTAAAATTTGGTATGCACAGAAATTAAAAAGCCTTGAACCTGGTCTGTGTTTAATTTTGCATTATAAGTTTTTGATCTTTTTTTTCTTTCAGATTGTGTCATTTAGTTGATTCGGCACACGTTTGTTTTGTGTTCACTTACTTTCTGTGTGTTTTACATCATATGCAAAGTAAAACCAAATCAGACCATTTTATTGTACTTTACACAGTTCAGACAATATTATTGCATTACTCGGGTTATAGATAAATAACACAGAGAAACAGCTATATCATATTACTCAAAGTGCATCATGTGCATTTAGTAAGGAAGGTCCATTCATGTCCAAAAAGAATAGACAAAAGCACGAGTGACTTCTTCTCTATGTCTTGAATGTAATCCGGTTGCAGACCACAAACATGGCGGTCTTCTTCTTGGCCAAACAAGGAAATCCCTAAGTAAAAACAATCTACTAAAGAGTTTGATCTTTTGTGTGAATATTTGTAGGACTCGTTCCAGATTGTTCCAGTTTTCCACCTGGTTTGAACCACTGGTTTACCTGCAGTGTTAAAGCCTCGGTCAGGTTTCCTTCATTTTCCTCATTTCAGGTTTAAAACTGACCCAGAATGAAAGTAAAATGCACTTTATTATTCTGTCATTGTTGCCATGTGAAACATATAACTCTATTCCTATTCTTTTAACTGACATTTCAGTGCCATCTCATTAATAATAATAACTTTATTTCTATAGTGCGACCTTTTTAAAAAAGAAAAACAGAGTTTATCCAGTGCTTTAACAGAGAAGCAAAAACAATCATACAGAATATAAATAAGTATAAAAATAAAGAGATTTTGAGGCAGTAAGATGATTAATCCTATGCTGAGCTACACAGAAGAGTCGCAATTAAAATCTCGCTGTAAAGCCAACACTGGCATTAGTCATCCGTCATCACCGACACAAGCAGACATCTCTGTAATATTCAGCCAGAGACGGAGGAAAGGTGGTTAGAAATCAAACAGCTTCTTCCTGTAGCATGACAGGAGTTCCTCACTGAGGGACTCTGTCTGGCCAGCCTCATGCAAAATAAATGAGAAAACAGACTGAATGCATGTGTGCCGAGCTGCTCTCGGCGTGTCAGAGCTCACAGATCGCAGGAAGGTGTAAAAACGCAAGTCTGACCTGAATCTCCAAACCGCTCGCTGTGCACAGCAGCTGCAGGTGGATCACATCCGCCTCTTGCCCTGTTACTCAATACCACAAGATAAATACACAGTTGTGTGTGTGTGTGTGTGTGTGTGTGTGTGTGTGTGTGTGTGTGTGTGTGTGTGTGTGTGTGTGCGTAGACACAGAGACAGACATTAAACTTGGGTTTGTTTAGAAATGCCACAGGTGCATGCAGTGGCCGACTGTTATTAACTCTCAGTGTGAACATGTTTAGCATTTACATGTTTTAAAACCGTTTAAACTTGTTGGGAACGCACATTAGTGCAGCTGTGTGCTTTTCTTTTTTCATTTAAAGGTTTTGTAAATTACTTCCAAAATGAACTGAAGCTCTCAAGAACTGCCAGAACTTTGTGCCCAAAATATTGGTGTACACGGTTGAAAACAGGCCTGGGCTCCGCTTTCATGTATTAACCAATTTGTGCCACAAGATGGTGCAGTGAGTCAACCAGACCTGTCATTAACCTTCTTAATTACAGTCAAAAGCCGAAGCCTCTTGAGGACATGGAAGTACGGCTGAAAATAAAAATCAAAGGTTAAGAAAAAATATTTAGCACTGGAGAAATGCTGCCCCCTGGTGGAGTTTAAGGTAAGACTTGCACAGAGTGATTACAGAAAGTGCCTGCATTAACCCACTGACTGTATATTAAAGAAACAGCCAGTGCAGATTTGCTTTAAATGTGAAATCCTTCAAATGACCAGTTCAAGAAAACAGAAGATGGCAAATCAAAATTGCACATCAGTAATTTTTGCAAGTAAAATGAAGAAGTCACCAGTTTTCTGAATTAGTCCCTATTAGAGTTATTTGTTCCACACTATTGTATTTATACTGTCCCACTGCAATAATAGTAGAAATGTGAAACAGGAAAAAAAGCTTCAGACTTAAATCATTTGTTTTCCTTTTGGTGCTTGATGTCTTTAGATGCTGCTTCCATTTCTGTTTTTCTCTGTTAACTGGCATCTCCAGTTTTGCACATTTTTATCTAATGCTGGTGGCAGTTTGTTCATAGAGTAATTTATATCCTGCCATGAAATAAGAGTGACATTACTAAAAGCACAATATTAAAATTAATGATTAGGATCACCATTAGATAATGATTAACGCGTCTGTTGGTGAAGTATCTAAAGCTGTTGCTCCGCCTATCGCCTCTATTCTCTATGCCCACCTCTAGTGTTATGACACCGCCTTCCTGGACTCTGAGAGCGTTGTGCCTCACTACAGTGTCTGTGTGGACTGTGTGATACTGTCTGTAATCATTACTTGTTGTTTGTTGGGGTCTGCTGTTGAACTGAAGGTGGTTTATGAGCCGGACATGATTCGGATCATCTGTGGAGGCACTGCTGCTCTGGACCTGCTGATTGTTGAACTGGCTGTACTCGTAACTTGTTGTCTGTGGAGGTCTGTTGGGGTACAGCCTGTAAGGGTTACTTGTTGTCTCTGATGGTCTGTTGGGGTACAGCCTGTAAGGGTTACTTGTTGGCTGTGGAGGTCTGTTGGTGAACAGGCTGTAAGGGTTACTTGTTGGCTGTTGAGGTCTGTTGGGGTACAGCCTGTAAGGGTTACTTGTTGGCTGTGGAGGTCTGTTGTTGAAATAGTCTTGGCTATTTGATGGAACCTGATTGGAAGCTCAAAAGAAAGAAAACAAAAATCAACACTTACAAATGTTTTCATGAGTTTGTTCGCTGTCATTTCATTTATTAACATCACAGAAAAGTTACTTTTGAAGATGAAAATATTTTTTATTGCAAATTTTGCCAATTTTATGCTCCATAAACATGTTACTTAGCATGCAATTTCATTTGCATATGAAGGTTTTCACAGTGTTGTATCTTAGCATATTTACCATCATCTGAACTACTGTCAAATGGGGAAGTAGGCATCTTCTTGGACATCTTGGCGTCTTCACGCTCCCTCTTTTCCGTCAGGGCTGTAAGTGCAGCTAGAAGAATTGATATCTCCTGTTAGAGAAGGAGTTGGATCCAGATCATTCTTAAGTCAGATTTAAACATATGCAATTAGTACAGCAAAGATATCCCAGCCCAGCATGTGTTTTTCCTTCAACTTGTAGGAAGTCCTCCAAGTTCTCCACAATCTCAAAGTCAGAGAAAGTCACCTACCTAATATTGTGTTGGTCCCTATTTTGCTAACAAAACAGCCCTAACCCATTGAGGAATAGAATAGAATAGATCCCTGAAGGTGTGCTGTGGCATCTGACACCATGATGTTAGCAACAGATTCTTTAAGTCCTGTAAGTCGTGGCCTTTCTGTGTGGAGTTTGCATGTTCTCCACATTTTTGGATAGGTTTTCTCCCAGTATTCCACAGACATGAAATTAGTGGGGTTTGTTTCTCTGTGTTAACCCTGCATCAGAATGGATGAACTGAATTGAATTAAAATGGTAAATGGACTGGTTCTTATGTAGTTTTGTTCTACTCTGACCACTCAAAGCACTCTGCACACTTCTATCTTTCTATGTAAGTGCTTTCTGTCTAACGTTCACATGCATTCATACTCCGATGGATGAACTGAAGACAAACTTGGGGTTAGTATCATGCCCAAGGAGATTTGGCATGCAGACAGAAGCAGATGGGGATTGAACTTTCAACATTCTGATTAGAAGGTGACCTGAGGTACAGCCACTCCCATAATTCATAACCTTCGAATAACATTTCTATAATAAAGTTTGCGGGAGAGGTGGTGGAGCTCCAAAGTGACCTGTGTTTGAGCACTCTGACATTGATATGAACAGGAAAAATATTCACACATTTTTGCAAAATTCACCAAAGCAAGTCATAACATGCTATTCCCAAACAAGCTGTGTTTCCTGATGTAACTTTTCTTCAGGTTTTTTCAAAGCCACTGGACAATTTAGGCATCAAAATTTTGATCCAATAAATATTGGAGCGTTTTAAAGGCGTTTTAAAACACCTGCATATATTTTGAAGGTTCCAGGAAAGAGATTCAGAGTGATTAGTAACACCTAAAGTGCTAACATACCACAATCAACCTGTCAAACAGGGTGTTCTTAGTACTTAGTTTCACCTTTAAAATACAAAAACACATATAAACAACACACACTTCTGTCTTCACAAGGAGAGGCTACTCTCAAAGTATTCAAAGCAGCTCAGATGTCATATTTAATGTTACAGAAACAACAGATTAATAGTGAAAAGCAAACAATGAACACCAAATCTCTGTTTTTGTTTCATTCACCTCTCAGATTTAACCTTTTTTTTAATATCTGGATATTTGGATATCAGCAATATTACTGCTATGATTTCAACTTTGTATGTGTGTTTGTGTGTGTCTATGGTCCCGCATGTGTTACAGAAACTGTGAAATCTTGTCAGACTTGACTGTCTATGGGCAGATTTTGTCAACATGGTAAGCATCAATATGCAGTCATAAAACACAATAGGCAGCTGAAGTTCAATTTGATAATAAGTGTTGTCTCTGAACTTGTAACTAGTTTTGAATTGCTGTACAATAAAAGAATATTTAGAATTTATTTTCATAAATCGAATTCAACCTAACAACATTTTAGTTTAATATAGTTAACTAAAGTTCACATACTGTCATCACATTGCATTGAAACTACTTCCTCCAAAGCAAACTGTCATGGAGTGAATGTTAGGACCCAAATGCAGTTTTCATAGTTATGCAGAAATAACAAAAAACTAACCTTTTATTAAAGTCGAGGAGTAATCCACAACACACATAAAAAATAAGAAAACTTTCAAAAAGGATCACGAGGAGAACACGAGAGCACACAAACAGATACTGAAACAATGACTGACAGGCAGGGCAGGCCTGTGTAAACACACACAAGGGACTTTCAGATAAAACAGAAAGTAAACAAACCACTAAACAGATATGACAATGACATACAAGGAAACACTAGAGGAGGCTGGTCTTAAATACATAAAAAGACAAGGATATAACTTTAAATAACTCTTAACATTATCTGGATTATAAAATAACAAGAAGTAAACAGAAATGACTAAAGAGTCACAATGAGCCCAAGCAGGGAAGGCCAATTATAAACTCTGCAATGACAATACAATCTGACCACAATCAACTAGAAGTAAAACAGAAATGAGGAACAGTACAGGGGCACAATGTTGAAAACATAAGATTTCTAGATAGAATTAGAAAGAAAACCTAACATAAACTGAAAGGAAAGCCTGAAGTCTCCATGACAGAAACAATCGGTAAGGTGTAGGTGTTTTAGTCATCACATGAGTCAGTGGTGCATACCTATCATTCTCTGATTATGCCAACAAAACTGAACTGAGCGTAAAGTCATTGTAGTGCAGCCATTCCCAAAGAAAAGTGCTGCAGTTCACTTCAAAACCAGAAAGACCATCTCTGATCAGTAAGTCTGCTTTCTGTTGTTGCCTTGAAGCCTGGCGTTTCTGTGTGTGAGACAGTGGAGGAGATTCTGTTCCTGTTCATGTGGGATTGGCACTCTGGATTTGTTACCTTTCTGTTTCAAAGACCTTGTAAATAGTGATGGGCCAAACGAGGCTTCATAAAACACTGAAGAATTCAAACCATTTGTGCCGCAATAATATCGAGGCTTCGAAACAATCTGAACCCCATCTCCACAGTGACACCTGCTGGCCAATTTGGGAATTACCACATCTTGATGGTGCAATTCTGTCAGACAATGACAGAGACGAGCCCTGCACATTTCCAAATAAAGCAACTTATTATATTAGACTGTCAATAATTGTGATCAGCAGGCGTTGTGGAGAAATCTCCGTACAAACTCAAACAATTGAGACTGTAATGATGAGTTTGCTTCAGGAAAAACATTCTCAATTTGTTAACCTTCATGCTGCTCAAAATAAACCAATAATATAGTAAAAGATTCTGAGAAATAACTCCTGGGTTTATTGTAATAACCAGCTGTTCTTGGGATCAGTCAGCTTTGTTTTGTTTTTTGTTTTTTTGCTCACACCCCTCAATGCTTGGATGTGTTTGGCTGATGTTTAAGTTTTCTGGGAGTTCATGTCATCAGGTTTGTTCTACACTCTGTTAAGCAAAGCTAGAAGCTGGCATAGCTGAACTATGCAGAAACTTTTCTTAACTTTGCACTGCTGTGGATGCTGTATCTTATAACACTGGCATGATGTTTACTGCGAGTCTGGGGTTTTGGTTATATTGAACCTGCCTCGTGTTGTTTATGAGATATTCTCACCAGAAGCATCAGTGACAATAAAAAAAAAAGAAAAACTCATCTGTCATGAAAAGGTGTTAAAAAATAGATGAACTATAATTAATGATTACTAATAATGTGTTTTTCTAGCTTTTATTATCTACAGTGCAAATATATTCTTTATGGAGGTGCAGTATGTGAATGACAGGTTGAAGTGAGGATGACACGACCTGATGCATGTTTTTATTGGCAGCAGACATGTATATTGACGCATGGGTCTCTTGTGGGGCCTCCTCACAGTGGGGCATGTCCAAAATGCATCACATAGGTGCTGCCCTGGAGAGATCCTGGCCAAATGCCCAAATGACCTCATCCTGTCGCTGTGGAGAATTACCACAGAGAACAAGTAGTTATGGAACAAATGTCCATTCCACTGTACCGCTTACTGCACCATATACAGCATATGCATGATACAGTACTGGTGTGTATTGTTTTTTTGTTAGTTTTTTGTTGGGGTTTTTTTTTTTTGCCTGTCCTGTTTGGTTCTTTTGCCATCAGAATTCTTGTCTAAAGGCAAAGAAAGATGCCCAACGGATTTACTTTATCAAATGGACCATGCCGTATTGGTCTATTTGATTCACCTTTGCTTTTATTGTTTATTTTATTTTATTTTCACTTACACGGGACAGACATGACTTGGGGAAAGAAAAGGGAGAAAGAAAGAGAGGTAGGGAAAGAAAAACAGCGGGGAAGAGGAACGGTGATAAAGGGCAAAAAACAAAAACCAACAAAAGAAACAGATAAAATATATATATACATATCAATCACCTGGATCACCTGTTGAGAAAGAAAAAAGAGAAAACAAGCAAAGCAGAGAGATGATCTATGGGGTGTAGCTCAGGTGGTAGAGCAATCATCTACTGATCGGAAGGTTGGTGGTTCAATTTCTGGCTTCCCCTAGTCTGCATGCCAAATATCCTTGGGCAAGATACTAACCCCAAATTGCTCTCCGATGCATCCATCGGAGTATGAATGTGTGTGTTACTTAGAAAGCACTTAGAAAAATGTGCTTGCACAAGTTGTGTAAAGCGCTTTGAGTGCTCAGAAGAGTAGAAAAGCGCTATATAAGAACCAGAGGAATTTACCATTTATGTGAATATAACAGTAAATACTAGAAATTGAATATTATTGTGCAGCACGTAGGATTGACAGCGCACAGTGTGCTTTGAGGTAGGAGCAAAAAAAGGGTGTAGTTTGTGTCTGTGAGCACCCGTGTGTACACCTGTGTGCCTGAGCGCGCTTTTATTTAAAAGGTTCCTTCATGTAATGATCTGCTAGAGGGTGTGGGGAGCCATAGTCCCGTCCTCCAGGGCATGAAGCAGATTGGAGGAGATCCAGGCTCCAGACATCCAGAGGCCCTCAGAGCACAAGAGACCAACAGAGGGGCAACCGTGCCACTCTCCCGGAAAGAGCTGAGGAGAGCCCAGATGAGGGGTGACTGGTGTGTATTGTAAAATATTGCTGTACTGGCTAATTACACCATAAGGCACAGACAAAAAATAATTGTTGCATAGTTGGCATCAGTGGGTTCACACCCATTTGTATGTATATCCTCCAGCATGTCCCTCCATCATCTCAGCATTTCTGAAAAGGTGCTTGTTTTACACAGTTAAATGTAAAATGAGTAAATATTTGCAGGACTAAATTCAATTCATAAGGAAAATTGATAATGCATTAAAATTTTGGCCTGTGGGTGACAAGATCCATTCAAATGAAAAATGTACTGGAACTCTTATGTAGCTGTATAATGTGAATATATATGCATCCAGTAACATGAAGGACTCTCTGAAAGTCTTTTTGACTTGGTGCCTCCTACCTCTGAGTCCCCATGCAGGTTTGTCCTACACATAAGAATAAATGTTTTGAGAGGTTTGTTCTCTTTGGATCTACCTTCTTATGTTTAACTAACTCAGATACAGACTGTATCTGTGATTGTCACTTGTCTGCTAACAAATGACCAGCTCAGATTAAGCACACTGCTGATGCATTTTCTTCATAAATCATGACATGCTGCTCTCCCCTACATAAACTGCTATTATGAGTTCATTGTTGTGTATTTATTTGGTATCAGGTCAATACCACATTTTTCAGTCTCATACATCAGTAGTAGGTGCCTCCTCCTGTCTTTAAGGCTGAGCCTGGACAATCGCATTCTCTCAAGTATGTGTATTTACATGGAGGTATTCTGCTGTAACTAATCATCTAAAGTATTTGAAAATACACCCATAAACAAAAACGGATGTAAACATGGATTATCAGCCACCAAAGCAGCTGCTGCACCTTTAATTTATTGATTCATTGATGAACTCTTGCAGAAATTGAACACAGAACCTTTGGTGGCAATCACTGCACTAATATAAATACTCTTAAATCTACTGAAAACAACAATAATGTCTTTACAAACAGTTTAAATGAACCATAGCAGTATTTAATAAAGGTTAAAGATGGGAATGAGATGAAGTGATGCCGTTTTATTTAGTAAGTCCTGATGTAGCTGCAAGGCAATTTCCTGCCACTAGATGATGCTCTTTGTACATAAATTGGCCACAATTGAAAGAGTGACGCTTCAGATTGAGCAATTTCATAGGTATCATTTTTAAATATTTCTAGGACACACAAACCTATAATTTACATTTAAAAATAACAGCATTTACAATTACAGGTTTAAAAGGCAGGTGAAACTCTATTCTTTTTCACAAATTACAATTCATAGTGCTTAAATAACCTTATATCCTGTACTCTTTAGAGAATCTTTGCTATATTACTATTGTTCCCTCATTTCAATTAAAACATCTATTTTTCAGTAATATTCCTTAGTTAATTATTTACTCCTTAACGTTGCCAAAATGTCTCCAAAGTTAATTTAAGGTTTGTTTGTTTTTTTAATGAACTTAGTTATATAACTTAGTTATATCACCTTGTTTCGCTAATCTGTTTGTTGGACCCAGTAAAACAAGAAACCAAAAATAATGTTTTGTTTTTTTTAAATATTGCTATTACATTTTAAAAAATATATGAAAGGGCACTCCTATTTGCATATATAAGTGTAGTGGAGTTACCAGGACAATGAGCATGAGATTCTCATAGATATAAAGTAACGTGTGTTCATGTGTTTACCTGTCTCTATACATTTGTGGGGACCGATGCTGATTTAAAACCAAGCTATTGAGGACATTAAAACGTTTCTGTTTTTCACTTTCAGGCGCGTGTTTAAAGGTTTAGTCGTGGTTTTAGTGCTTACGTTAATGGCAGGTTAATAGTATTATGCAAGTAGTATGATGAGACTAGAGACTAGCTAACTAATTAGACTAAAAGAAGTGAGACTCCGCTTTACGTGCCCGCAGGTCCTCACAAAGTAGGAAGGACAGTTGTGTATGCCCGTGTTGCTGTGATTAGCTCCGCCCCCTCGCTCCTTACCGTGACGCCGCGGTGACGTGTTGCTGTAGTGGCTCGTGCAGCAGCAGGTAGTTTCATTCAGTCCGCTTCAGAATTCCGGACGGAGTTAACGGCTTTCTTATCATGGACCTGGCTTTGATTTCACCCGTTTTACAGCTCAGAAACGGATAAAAAGCAACGTAGGCGTCTGTTTTTTGTATTTCCTCCTTAACGTCGACTCCAGTTTGGATTTTACCCTCCAGCGGTCCGATTTTAGCAGCTTGAAGTTGGTTCTCCTTCAGCATATGTGGGAATGTGAACTCTCATGGATGCCGATACACTGTTGGAGTACTTACACACATTTTCCTGATTTTCTGGGAGCCGAAATAGTGGACTACGCTCGCTGAAAACTAGTTGTGAATAAAGCCATGTTCACTATGTTTATGTAGAAGCTGAAAAAACGTTAAAATAATGATTTCGGAGGAGAGAAGCAGCCACGTAAATAAACAAACCCTGAACTTTCCCGTGGGTTTACTCATCCGCTCTCCCAAAAGGCGCCTGGCCAAACTGGGAAGGAAACCCAGCAATGGATCTGTCCAGTAAGTCTCTACATGCTTTAATCGAATCTACTTTAATTAGTTTTATTTACATATCGCCACTTTACTACAGCAGTAATCTTACAGTGTAGAATACTGGAGAGTAACTCCAACCTATGATAAATGCCATTGGCAACGGTGGGAAACAAGAACTGCCCAGTTTTCTACCTCCAGTAGAAACATAAAGGTTTATAATCGCAGCAGCATTAGTTTTAGAAGATGTAATCGTTTTAAGTATACGCATTAGCCAGCTCCAGTTATAACTTTGCACATTAAGACATAATTTATATTGCTATATCTGCATTTTATACCAGTGCACCAAGAAATTAAGTGATTTGATGTTGAGATAAATATAAAGATGTGCATGATTAATGCTTGTAATGATGATAATATTAGAAATTAAGACTATGGGGAAAATATTGTTAATAAGTTAACATTTAATTTCATTTACGTTGCGTTTAACTTTATTTTGAGCTGTTGTACTAAAGGATAAATGAGTTCTATCTGGTCTTAGGTAGGAGACCTATAATGAGAAAAAAAACGAAGTTATAGCTTTAATTGCAACTATATTAATTAATGGAGTAATTACACAGCCTTAGTAATGACTTTTTATATGTTAGCAGCATTTTGGCTCATGTTTTCTTTTCAGTTAGATTTTATGACTGTATTTCTGCTTTTTTTTCAATAGAAATTCTATAAATGAGAATAACATAGTTGTCTATTGATTAAGGTAACATAATGACTTATGTAAAGGTTTAAATAGGTTCACAGAGACCAAACAATTAGCTGATGAGTTTAGATAACCGTAAAAACAAAATCCTGGTTTGTTTCGGTTCTAAATTTGGGTCTGAAGTGGAGAACTTTAGACAGATCATGGTTCGTGTGCAGGATCTTTTAGTGTTCTGTCCTCTCACTCCAATCAGGTCCAACAACTCGAACAGCACTGTCCGCTCTGCTGAGAGCATTGGCGTCCGGCAGCCAGCCAAGAGCAAAATCCGCCGCCACAACAACAGGTTTTCCACTGTGTTCAACCAAAGCCCCAACCTGAGAGACGGTGGACGGCATGTCCAGGTGGCGAGTGGTAGTGGCGGGAGCTTGTCTGGAGACCTCCAGGTTGTGGACGACCCGGCTGAGCTATCCAGCCAAATGTCCATTCCTGGTATCCTGAAGATCTTTGGCAGTGACATCTGCCAGGGGACCAACTACAAGAGTGTGCTGGCTACCACTCAGTCCAGTGCAAAGGAGCTGGTGAAGCAGGCCTTGGAAAGGCAAGAGGTTTTCTCTTGGTCCTAAAACATGTTTTTGAGTCCTTGCAATAAGATTTATTCCTAAAAGAAACAAAGTAAAAGTGAAGTAGTGCTACTTTTAGGTCAAACTAGATTTTAACATGTCAGAATTTACTGCTTTTGTCTATTTGATCTAATTGTAAATTAAGTATGTCTGGATTCTGAGCCGATGTTGAGGACAAAAAGGGGAAACTTAGAAATCAGAAACATTTACGACTGCTTCAGTGTGAAAAACAACTTCCAGACTTATTGCTAATGCTTCATTTCTCTGTTTTTTTCTCTTCAGGTACTGTCTGGAAAAAGAAGACCCCAACAACTACGTGCTGTGCGACGTTATTGGCCAGACGGGGGCTGATAACCAGTGGAAGAGAGAGTGCTTTAGGGTTGTGGGTGACAGCGAGAGGCCCCTGATGCTGCAGTCGCTGTGGAAGCCGAAGGATGGCTTCTCCAGGCGTTTTGAGATCCAGCTGCGGGCGAGCGTGGAAGAGCAAAGTTTAAAGGACAGGGACACGATCACAGCAGGTATGCATGGTGCCTAACACCTGCACCGTGACCCTAACATCCTCCCACTGGGGTTATCAATCACTCAGCCTTAGCCTTGGGAGCCTTAGATGTTTCTTATTGCTGGGTTTCATTGTGCCTCTTATCACTGGTTCAAACAGTCATGCAGCAGAGGTCAGGAGGAAACAAAAGCTGCCCTGCTCTTATCTTTGCTTTAATTCAAGGGTCCATAAGGTCCTCGCAAAGCATCAAGGCACAACGCAGCTCTTCCCACCAGGCCTATAGCTGCTGTGTTTTTCTTTCTGTCAGAACTGACTTCCTGCGCTCTGGGGGCTGAGCGGTCCTGTTGACTTTGGCTCACGTTTGTTGTGGTCCCTTTCAGCTCTGGACCGACACTCTGACGGCTTTTTAATCAGGATTGGTCTGATAGCGCGAAGCTTAAATTACAGATAACCTTAATTATAATTTGATTTCTACTGAAGGTTTTCTTCATTTTTTAAAATTACGGTTTTTGAGCTGATTGTACATTTTAAAAAAGGTACAGTGTTTAATCTACAGTGTTTATTAGTTTTTAGAGTTCCAGTTTCATTTTCAGATTGAGTTTTCTCATTTATTAGTTTAAGAATGTTTAGGGGTTTTTTCCTTGTTTGTTTTAGCTGTCAGGAAACTGGTTGGTATTTGTCAGATTTTAAGATTTCAGAAGTTTAGTATAAACACAGGCAGTCACAGGTTTCATTATAGGGTAGACCAAATTAACAAAGACAAAAATTAAAGACAGATATTTTTTCCCTGTATGCAGAGTTTTTGTTAGATTCTGTGTTGTTCTATGAGCCGGTAATTTGTTGGTGATTAATAGACTCCATTTCTAAGCTAGCATTAGTTAGTGTTGCTTTGCTTTCAGTTTTCATGGAAAAATTCATGCAGGGTGATTCACATAGAAAGCAGTTGAGAAGCTGTTGGTGACACATGAGAGTATTGGGTGACTACAAAAATGGTTTAATACATAAAAGACTTATCTAAGTCACATTCAAATATTGGCGTTTAGAGTTCTATATCTGTGCAGCTCTGCACTGGTTCTCATAGCTCTGTGATCTACCCTCCCCTTCCTCCTCTCTGACCGGGGGAAAGCTGCCTTTTACCTCCGCCGGGTTTTTAGGCATCAAGCCCAGCCTGTCACAGCAGTGCTGAACAATGTGGAAAACACCCATTTCCACAGCTGATAAGGGCAGCGGAGCACCGGGTGTGAAGCCGGACCCTGTGGACATTCCACCTCGCTTAATGGCTCCCAACGAGCTGAATAGTGTTTGTGTTACGTCAGGCCGACAGAGCGGCTGCTGGTATCTGATAGAGGTGGTCACATCTCACCTTCCCTGCACATTTCCCCCCTTTTTCCTCTAGTTATGTTGCATTTGAACTGAAGCCAGAGCAGAAAAGTGTTATGCTGGAGTCAGCTCGGATGACCGGAGTAATTTTGGGAGGATTTCTGTTTATCGTAAAGATAACTTTATAAACACGAGAGGTAGTTCTTCTGTTTTTCCTGGCGCTGATTCAAAGTTTGTCTAAAGCTGACATTATTAATAGAGGCCACAAATTTGAGAAGTCCAGTCTTCTGCTGTGTTTGTCCTGTTTTAATTTTAAATGGTTTATTTCTGAATTTGAATTAGTTATTTTTTAATTAAGTGACACGAGGCATCTGGAGCATCAAACACTCTGTGTATCTCTATTTTAGTATATTTAGTTTGATCTATATGATGTTCTTTATTGTTGTTTATATAATTAAGTAGATGTTATGAACTAAATTATACAAAAACCTAAGTAACATAAGCTGTAGTCGGGCTAGTATTACCTGTGAACTACTACTAATTTGTAATAATCACAAAAGTCATCTTTGACCGTAACCCTGTGCAATTCTGCCTTGAATCTGTCAGTTAGAAATATCACTGCAGCGCACCTGAGATTGATTAATTGAGATTAAGTATACCACAAGAAGAAGAGCTGCCGGATGTTTCTAGGTAATGAAGATCTGATAAACTAAGACGTCCTTGGGCTCTGTGGATTTTATTTTAGATAATTTTTTTCTAAGAGACTAACAAGCAGATAGAGTCCAGCATCATCAGCATAGAGTGAATTAATTACTGCACCAAGCTTTGGAAGCTTTTTATAGTAAGATGATAAAGACTTTTTAAAAGTCCAAAATGAGTCGTGAAACATACTCAGGTGTCAACACACTCGATGACATAGCATCTTCTTGTCCACCCAGGGATCAATGCCCAGGCTCGTAAGCTGCAGAAGACCCGCTCCAGAGTGACCTCCCTGTTTGTGGACAGCAGTGGGGAGGACACAGATGGACTCGGCATCTGGAGGAGCCTCAGCGAGATGGATTTGTCCGCGATGGGCAAGGAGGCTAGCAAGGCCCAACAGAGTGCGCTCAGAGAGGATCCCGAGGCTGAGGCCGACAAGGAAGTGCTGCGTCTTGGCATGGAAAAGGAGGAGACGGAGAGCAGCGATGATAACACAACCCAGTACTCCATCCACCCACCCTTTGACTTCCCTTATTTCCTCCTGCTGCAGGGCTACAGCCACAGACAGGTGAGTGGCAGACCAACTTAAGGTATCTGTATATAACTATAATTACCTTAAGCAGATGAGACCTTTCTGAACTCCAAAGTTTCAGATAATGAGGTCATTGTAGGAAACAGTTATCCCTGTAAGCTCAGACTTCAGCCTGCTCTAAACACTCAGTTTCAGTTACTTTTTTTCCTACCCTGGGCTGTGTATGATGTCACATAGAGGATAAGCCTAATTTGGTCAACTCAGGGAAAGAAGTCCCACCCACTTGCTTATTTGTGAGTGGTAGCAAATCACATGAAAGTTAGTCTAAAGTTGGAGAAGCTAAAACAGCTTGTTTTGGATTGAGGTTGAACTGAGGGGCCTGCACAAAACCCCGTGTGAGAGAAATAAGGATTTTATTTGTTTATTTATTTTACCTGCCACTCATGCAAAACTGCTCTGGTATAGTCAAACAACAAAAATATGGATCTGGAAATGAAGAGAACGATGTGCTGCTGTAATATCAGCTACAGGTGGGTGCTGTTGTTCTCTTTCAGTGCTGTTTTCAGCCTGGTTACATTTAACCAAGTTATTGCCAATAATAGTATCCACAGTTTAAAGCTGACCTACAGATGATTGAAAACTTATAATCAAGCAGATTTGCAGGCAGTTTCTGGACTCCTTCTTTGACATTTTAAAGACTTGAGGTTGATTTTTATTGTAAAGTTTTAGTTAAGTATAAACCTGGTTCTGTGAAGACCTGTTATTGCCCTTGAGTGTGTCCTGTGAGCGTGTAAGCAAACAAGCTTAAAAGAGACAAGAGGAAGAGAAACATATAGTGGCGAACTGAGCTTGTTATGTAACGCAAGGAGAAAATCCCTCAGTCAGAGAGTCAGACAGGGCGGAATCACTGCTACACAGGTGTGTTAGGACCAGGTGATCCTGTTCGGGCTCAGGGTGAGCCCTGTGTCATCATGTGTCAATGAAAGGATGAAGAACAGAGTGCTCAACCTTCTGTCAGAAGGAAACCTGCTTAGGATCTTTGGCAGAACAAAGAGGCAGTCCTGATTAGAAGGATAAACTGTAGCATGTAAACACTGCTGTGCTGTAATCAACATACCAGTGTACCTGACCTCTGTTTCAAACTGTCCTTACTTCCAAAATCTGTCCTTGTCAACATCGCCTGTTTAAAAATCTCTTTTGCACAGTAAACCAGAGAGCACGCTGTGGCTTTAGCCCATTCCCAGGAACAGGAAGCTCTTTCTCGCAGTGTTTTTATCCCCGCTGCTGGGGATTGCTGACTGAGCAGGATGCTGGGAGCACGGCAGCACACTGAGAGCTGCAGCCGACCTAATCTTACTCTGCAACAATGGGTCGACCCAAAGCCAAAGCAAAGGAACGAGGCGGGTCTGTGGCGGACCAGCAGTCGTGCAACAGGAACTGAAAGCTGATTTTTGGGTTGTTTTTTGAAACTGTGTTGTTGGAGACCAAAGAAACAAAACTGAATTTGGCTTTCCTTGGCATTTATTTCAGTGGAGAGAGAGTTTTGATGCTGAGCCGCAACTTCTGCGGTGGCGCGATGCCCATTAACTTTTTATTGTTATTGAATGAGCTGTGTTTTTAAGCAAGCTTGAGTGTGTTTCAGTCAGGATGGTGGAGTCAGCATATGTTTGACTGGTGGAATATTGGTTGATACCATTACCCATTACAGCAATGCATCCCAGTTATTAATCATTTTGTCTGTAAATAGCCTTTATATCTTAAAAGTAACAAAGCAATAACACCCTCACATATGAATGCTGTTGTAGCCCTGCCTTCACGCTGAGGCTGCTTGGCTTTAGGCAGCAGAGATGATAGGCTATCATCGCCTGACTAAGAGTCTTAACGTGGTGACCCTGAGCTCCTGGTCCTCACCATCTCGCTCATAAGCCCTTCCATTCCTGTCCTGCCTTGCTCTGCCAGTTCAAGTTGTACTTTTACCAGATGATCCTACTGCTGCTTGCACGCACACTCCTGGTTTATTTCCAAAGTGTTACACAAGGAAATCAATCCCAGGCTTCCCGCTGACTGCTACTTTGAATGAATGTTTGCTTGAAGAATAGAATTGCATTAGAGGAAGAATTAAGGTTGCAAAATGAAAGCTTGTGTTGTTGCTGTCATGGAGGACACAGCAGGAAGTCTTCGCTGGTGGTACAGAGTCCAACAGCGAGAGCATTTCACTCGCAAAGAGCTGCGCTCGTTACTGTAATCACAGCCAAAACCTGTGCAGATAAACAGAGAATAAGAGTCTTTTTACTGCTTTCCATCCACCATCAGTTTTCTGTGTACAGGTGTGATTTAAGGAAAAGCTAAAACTGTTGGACTCTTTTTGGCAATACCACAAACGAGTTACAAATCACTTCCTGTGCCCAATAGGTGGCATTAGAGAACACCCACTACTCCTATGTCTTGATCGGAACCCACAGTGACAAAGTCATGAATGTTGGATTGTGCTTATCACATTTTAGTCAGTACTGGCAGATTAAATGAAAAGTTTATGCCAGATTGGATAAAGTATATTTGAGTTACAACTTCTTGTGTCATAGAAGTTGTAACCTAACTTATATGGCTTCACAGTTAAATATTGCCAAGGTCTTCAGTTAGAGCTTACCAAAGATCACACCAGGAGGAGCTGGTGGCGCATACCAGCGTAAACGGGGGATATTACAATGGAAACCGAAGCAGTTGATCTGCCAGATTTGCAGCTGAATTTATTGTGCGAAACATTTGATACAAATGTCTTCTTCTTTTTTTTTCTTTTTTTTTTGCAGGATTTTGTCATCTATCTCATGAGTGGGACCACCACCATCTTTGGCTGCTGCAGGGAGCATCACACTGGAGAAGATGAGGAGAGGCTGAAGGTGGACATCCTCCTGTTTGCTCCAGATTTGTTACCACAGCACTGCTGTGTCAGACGACTGGACTCTAACAGCCAAACTTCCACAGGAGGAGAGCACAGAAAGACGCTGACGATGCTGAAGCCCCTTCATGGAGCTCCCGTGACCCGAAATGGTTTACTCCTTAAAGAGGAGGTTGAACTGAATCCAGGAGATTTGGTTGGCTTGGGGAAACACTACTTGTTCATGTTTAAGGATCCTACAAGCAAACCAGGATCACTCCACACGCCTCCTTGGATGACCAGACTCTGCCCAAACTCTGACTCAAAGACCTCTTGTTTTTCATGCGGCTCCTTGGTGGCCAGGAAAAAGCTCCAGAGGAAGCCTTTACCTCCTCGTTGGAGAGACCTGGAGGGCACTGAGGCTTCGCTGAGCTATGAACTCGACCAGGAGGAAAGAGTCCTACAACAGATCCTGGACATGTTGGACCCCAGTGGGAATGAACCGAAGCTGACACCGGCTTTCCTGCTGAGTCTCTGCATCCAGCACTCAGCCTCCACATTTGAGCTGACGCATTTCAGACAGCTGCTACTTCAGCTGTCCAATCAGATCCAGCTCATTACATGGGTAAGGACAAAAACTCGGCAGCACGTTAAATCTAATGACCAAAGCATTATTTGGCAGTTGGGTTTCCAGTCAGTTTTTTTTCTTTTTTCTTTTTTTGCTTGGGGTTAGGGTTTTCAAATGTGAGAGTGATAATAAGGTTAAAAAGGTTAAGATTAAAAATCTAACAGCTCTGATACTAGAAAGAAGATTTAGAAGAAGTTTTAAAGTCCATTTTTGATGTCGCAGAGCTCTGTGTATGTGTGCACCGCTGAGAAAAATCACACAGATGCTATTGTGCGCTCTGCAGTTTCCATTATGGAGCAATTTTTGTTTAGAAATTGTCACTAAATACTGGAAAAAGTAATTTGGTTGCCTTTATACTTTGTAAGTAACGCTCCTTATCAGGTTCAGTTGATCTCTGCTCTGTTAGGTTCAGTTTTAAGGACCTGAAATATGTGAGATTTGACTCTAAACATTCACACTGAGGACTGAATGAAGAGCTGCAGGACAGAACCAAATGCCCAGGCACTACTCACAGCTTTGAGCCTTCCATCTACAATAATTACACACTCATTCTGATAACAACTTCCCCTGGCTTTCCAAAGAAATCAACATTCCTGTCACAGCCGCATCACGTGGAAAATAAGACATACTTTTTGGGGAATAAAATTTAGTACAATTTACAGTAAATTGTCTGCAACAAACATTATCAAATCACATCTGTATGACTCATTTAAATGGTCATCCACTCCTATTGCATGTGCAATAAGGCAAAAAATGCTTGTATCCATGCTTTTCAGTAGCAAAACTGACACTGCATTATGTTCGGATATCCTGACAGCAGCTTTCCATCCCATTACATCCCATTAGTAAACTTAAAGCAGCCATGAAATAATGTCTTATCTGTGTTTTGTCCCCCTTAGGAGAAGACAAAGGAACTTGCAGCAATCCAGCCAGAAACGTGAGTACAAGATATATGTCCTCTTATACTTTCTGAATGAAACTAACATGATCCTCTAGAAAAAGGGTTAAGTTCTTTTAATTTTAGGTTGTGCACAAAAAGCTAAGTTTGTGTTGTGATCACGAATAATCATGAGAATTAAAAACTGTCTGTCTCAGCAAGAGAAAAGCTATCAAAGGTCAACAGATTCTGAGTCAGAGGTCATTGTGTGGGCTTCGATAAAAGGGAGGAATCCAAAGGATCATATGACCTACATGACATGTAGAGCGAACAGCTGTGTAGCAGTAGAAAACACAGCGAGTCATAACAAACCCATAAAAACACCTCCTACATTTGCTTTCAGTCAGTTAACTAATTAGTCCATCACAAATCAGAAACTTTGACTCATTTTATTGGGAAAAGACAAAACGGAGCTTCTTGAAGTGGAGCAGGAACTTGTTTAACTGTGCTTAACCACGCACAGTATTTTGCTGATTTGCAGAAATTAAAAAGGAAGTTAACTGTAAATGGTTTGAAGCAAGCAGACATGGAGACCACTTTTTATATTAGATAACCAAAGACTACTGACTCGCATGGCTGTCATGTTGGAGGCAAAACATACATATAGTAAGTTTAAATATCAGTTAATCTGCGGAATTAATAGTAATTGCTTGATTTTTAAAACATCCCACATTTAATTGTTTAGTAAACTCAAACCTCCCAAAACAACACGTGACTGGTTATCAAAGTACTAATCAGTTAAATGTTAAACCTTAACAGGGAAGTTAAGAGTGAATGGATAGGATAAGATGGAGTTTATTTATCCAGAAAACCAGGAAATTAAAATATTCATTAAACACAAGAACATAAAAGTTAAAGTAGTTCAATAAAATATAATAAATATCACATTTGTTGAACGGACACTTGGGTCTTTGTAACAACCTTTTTCTGTTTATAGACAGCTCACAGTGTCTTCTCAGGCTTGCTTCAGATCTAATCTCCCACTGGTTGTTTTATATCAGGAGCTCTAGCGACGAGCAGTCGGAGCAGCTGCAGCTGCTCAGTATGAAGGAGCTGATCCCGGGCCTGCAGCCGCTGGTGCTGTGGATGGCTAACTCCATCGAACTGCTGCACTTCATCCAGCATGAAGTCCCACAGCTGCTGCCATGGAGGCTGGACCAGGAGGATGAAGGTGGGCATTCATCATTCTCACCGCTGTCTGTGTTTGTGTGTGTGCTGTTAAGACTTATTTGTATGTCTCTACAGGTCTGCTTGACTCTGAGATATCATCCACTCGGACAGCCTGCGAGGAAGCCATGACAGTCTTGGAGGAAGTCATCATGTTCACCTTCCAGCAGACCGTCTACTACCTAACAAAGGTTGGCTTGATAACATAAAGAGCTCACGTAAAACTTACATCACATGTTTCACATCTCCTTTGGCCTCTCTAATCTCAGTGTCGGTCACACATGAACCAGGAAGTCTAGTGCAAACAGCGTATTCTGTTTTCATTGAGCGTTGTCCAGACAGAAAACACAATAACAGAATGGAAACACAAACTCTCAGGCAGGAAAGGCCTGTGAGATACTGAGCGAGTGTCTTTTCCACTGACCACGACATAAACACACACACACAGTCCTCTCCCTCGAGGCTACGCTGGTTTGTTAAATAACATAAACCAGAACTGCAATGTGAGCATTTTCTTTAATGTTGAAGCTACATTGCAAAACGCTTTAAAGAACAGCAGGTGTGTTTTAGTGTGGTTTATAGAGGATTTAAACACAAACAAAAATGAACAGCGGAATTATTATTTTGCAGACTAAATGAAAACATAATTAGTGTAAATGTGGCTCTTTAGCCAGGACACAGCTGATGGTGGATGGAGAATATCTGACATAAAATTGAACAATTAAAAGCAAACCAGCTTGTCGCTGTTTTTGTCAAAAAGATAATTAGATGGTGTCTGCTGGTCTTTAAAATGTTTTAAATGTCTTAAATACACTGTTTTCCACTGAGTGCAACATAAACACAGTCTTCTCTCTCTGGGTCACTTTGGTTTGTTGAGTAACAAAAGCAGACCCACAATGTGAAAATGTTCTCCAGCTTTCGAGTTACATGACAGAATATTTTGAAAAGCAAAATTAAACGTCGAGAAAAATGCAGCAAACAAAATGAAAAACACATTTTCATGTTCATAATCAGCAGGACTGACCAGAACATATCTGGCAATTGCTGTGCAAAGACGCCCAATGATGCAAAGCCAAAAGTGGTAAATCTGCATCCGCCCAAGTTAAAAATATGCAGCTGTAACTGTAAGATTCAACTTCAGATTAAGATGTGATAACCAACAGACTTTAACAACATGTCCACATGTTGTTTTAGGTCTTTATAGTCTCAGGCATGAATTCTATGTTGTTATTTCACGGGGATACGGTGGTTAGCAGTGTGACCTCATAGCTAGAGAGCATGGTTTGAAGCCTTCCTGTGTGGAGTTTGCATGTTCTTCCCATGAGATCACTCCAGGTACTCTCTTTCTCTCACAGTCCAAAGACTTGCATCTTCGGTTAATTGGCGGCTCTAAATCGCCAGAAGGTGTCAATGTGAGGGTAAAGGGCTGACTGTGTCTGTGTCATCCCTGTGACAGCTGGCTCTAGCATCCCCGTGACCTTAACCCTTTCATGCATGAATTATGACAACCTCAATCAGGATTTTTTTCTTAAGTATTTTTATTCATCTTCAGGCATGAAAAACAGAGTTTTGAACTCTTTTTTTTAAATATGTACTTTTCAGAACATATGTTGTCCACTTAGGTGGACAACATATGTTCTGACTTGTGAATTTGACATACGCACAAATAATATTCACTCTGTGTTGTGTTTATGTGCAAGTATATCATCAAATACAAGAAAACAGCCTTTGAATAGCTGTACACTGTAGTGACCACTATGCTTGAAAGGGTTAAAAAGAATAAAATGGATGGATAACAAAAACATGGCCCTTAAATAGAGCCCTGAGGAACACCACAAGATACTGTAAAGGGAAACGTGAGAAACTGACAGATGTTAGGAAGATAATTTATTCTAAACCCTTAAAACCTCTGGGCACACTCTTTGATTTAGACTTGTGAATGTTGGGAATCCTCTTGTGTCTGGATTTGGATTTGACAGCAGTCGGGTTTGTAGTTTTACAGCCTGATGAGGCACTCCTAGGCTGATTTTATGTGACTTTCCCAGGCTGAAGTGGCACTCTAAGGCTGTCTGGTTTACACCAAATCCAGTCAACATTAAAGCACAAACATTTAAAGCTCTTGTCCACTCCAAAATGATGGTGGATTAAGGTTCATTGGATTGGGTGTTTGAGCTTTATTTTAGAAAACATTAAATGTGAAGAATTTAGCAGTGGAAGACTGACAGAGAAAGATAATCCACCTTAAATCTGAGCATAAGACACTACAACTCATATGTTAATGTTTTAAAAAGGGGGGAGGGGTTGGAATTTCAGTTGTTTTTAACTTTAATAATTGCCTTCTTAGAGATAAAATGCCAGACAGCATATTTTTACAAATCTGAAACCAGTCTGGGATGTTGAGGATTTTTATGAGTAGAAACTGCACCACCGCCACAACCCTGCAACTTCTGAGGAAGGAAGCAGGAACAGCCTGTCCTGTTTTGTTTACTCAAAGATTTTTCGAATGACTTTCTGAAAATATAATTCTCTTATTGTATGTTTTTAGTCTTATAAAGTGTTTTGTTTGTCAGACATTAATTTATCACTTTTGAGGCTCTGTATTCACTCAGCTCCACCTTTACTGAGAATATAATGTACTCTGAATTGTCTTGACATGTATTACTTATACATGTTTCACTTGACTGTTTTTCTGTTGGAGAAAGGGAGGATTAGCGGCTATGAGTCTGTTTCCTGCAGAGGAAGACAAGTTGTCATATGAGAAACACCCAAAAGACAAAAAGGAAGGGAGGAGGAGTCAAAAAGGGTCTTTTTGTTAATTTCCTGTGAAGTATGACTCTTCAGTTCTTCTTTTTCTCCCTGCTAAAGCTATTTGTGACTACACTGTAAATAAAACTGTGGAAAAAATGTGTTAAAGAAGCAGAAAAAAGGCGTCTATGTGCACAGAAAGTAATTTTAAACCATCAGCCCAGCTCAACACCTGCAGGTCTGCTGAGTTTCACTGTAAACTATCAGCTGACCTGTTGCCTCAGGCATGCAGGGTTACGGCCTCTGTCAGCGTGTCTGAGCTCATTATCTTAGTCATGTTGTGTGAGCGTGTTGGTGTGTTTGATGAGGCAGCGGTTGATGTCATGCGTGTGAAACAATGGCAGAATTGTCTAAGCAGCAGCACGAGGAGTGATAAGAGCTGACGGCGAGGTAGTATTCAGTACGAAAAGCTTGCAGGTTTATTTATCTACACTGTAAATCTGTCAGTGTAGAGTCTGCTTCCTTCAAGCTGCAGGTGGATTTTTGAGCTCAAAGTAAATACAAACTTGCTGCCATGCAGCCTCAGATTTTCAGCATCGAGTTCACTTTCTAGGAGATCAGAAAAATGCCCACGTTTTCCACACAAACAGCAGGGAGGGCCATGTTTGGGTTATGAATGCTGCAAATATAGCACTACCATACAGTCATTAAATCTGTGGGAGAATGAAACTGTTATAAACAGATTATGTTGTATGAATCATTTTTGGGTGTTTAGTTAACTTTTCTGGGCACGGCACGGCTCCGATCAACAATTCAACAGGTGCTCTTGTTCAGTGAGACATATAGAAGCACCAAGAACAAAATGAGATGCAAGTATAACCGTGAAATTATGCTTTAAGTTTATTCTTTGAGCAAATTAGCAGAAAAAACAGACTTTATTCTAGGAGAGCCAAAAACTGTGTGAAAAAGACTTTAGTTTATCAGGAAAGAAAAGGGCCCTTAAAATACTCGCATGTGTGTCTGAAATAAGTCAAACTGTGGTGTAACTGCAGCATTGGGCTATTCATGTCTCTACAGCTGCCCTTTGTGCCGTGAGCCTCGGGCTTTTCTGCAGGGCTTCCTGTTCACTCTGTGAATGCCTTCCTGTCTTTGAATTATGATGTCCTGCACACCTTACACGTGATTTGTGTTGCACCTCTCTTTGTGTAATTACTTATAAATTAGCCTTTTAGAAAAAAATACACAAGTTTTTCTGCGTATTTAAATTTGCCCTTTTTTGTAAATTCACTATTTTTACTGTTTTTACCTTCAGAGGGCCCTAATGTGCCATTACATGCTTTCAGTTGTTTCTTGAGTCACAGCATAACAAAGGGAGTTCATGTCAGTAGTTCATGATGTCTCCTACCCCCTCCACAGAGCATGTATTCAGCCCTGTCTGGCCTGCTGGATGGGAACCCTTTCTCAGAGAGCGGTCAGCTGCGAGTGCCCGATGGTCTTGAGAGCATCCTGGAGGTCCTGAAGGAGGCGCTGAAGCTGCTGACGGCCTTCCAGGTGCATCCAGACATCGCGTTACAGCTCTGCGCCTACCTGTTCTTCTTCATCAATGCATCGCTCTTCAACACCCTCATGGAGAGAGGTAAGATCTGTTATTTCTCATTTAATGCACATAATATAATATTAACTGTGAGTTTCTTTTTAGTCTGTCTTCTTATTGTTTTCTCATATTTTGTCTTATTTTGCTCTTTTATATGTATGAGAATGTTTATGCTTCTCTTTCTTTAACTTCTAATGAAAGCTGACGTGCAAATAAACTTAAATATCATTCATGTCCTCTCTCTGTTGTTGTTCAGGATCTGTCGCTGGGTTCTATCAGTGGTCCCGAGGCGTGCAGATCCGGGCCAACCTGGACCTGCTGATGGACTGGATCCAGAGCATCGGTCTGGGTGATCTGGCCACAGAGTTTTTCCAGAAGCTCTCTGCTGCTGTCAATCTGCTGGCCACACCCAAAGAAACCCTGCTGCAGGTCAGAGGACATCCTCTTTTCCTTTCCTGTTTGTCTTACCGCAGGCGGGTGTAGCCGAGCGGCAGAGTCACGTTTACGCCAGCCCGAGTATTTCCTCTAATGTGTACGAGTTAAATGTTTCTGGCTCATTTAAAACTTTCCATTTTTGGGGAAATCTAAAGCCTCAATTACATTTTCCAAACTCTTGGCTCCTTCTGTCAAACATTATGGTGACCAGTAACACCGCAGAGCAGCGTGTCAGTCATTTTAGATTGTGGTCCCCTTACAGACCAGTTTGATCTTAAACTGGACGAGTAAAAACCAGTTATGAGAAGAGAAGGAGGAAAGGGAAGGGGCACACAAAGGAAAGGATAAAAGGGGGAGGAGAGCAACAACGAAAGGCAAGCGAAGGAACAGAGGAAATACAAGAATAAAGGAAAGACACAAAGAAAGGAACAAAAGGAAAATGAAATGAAGGAGAGAAAGAAATGAAAGAACAAAAGAGAGAAGAGTAAAAAAGAAAGAAAATAGATAAATTAGAAAAATAAAGACGGAACGAAAAATGAAGAAAATGAGCATTGAAAGGGAAGAAGCAACAGAAAAAATGAAAGAAGAAGAAAGGATTTCTGTTTTACCACAAAATAACCGACATCATATTAAAAGAAAACACAGCGGGCTGAATCAGACGCACTGTCAGGCCTGTTCTGGCCCCCGGGCCACATGTTTGACAGCACTGCCGCAGAGCCGAGGCCAGTGCTGTCTGTGGAAGCACGCTCTTGCTTTATGGTTATTGTCCCCTTGAGAACAGCTGCAGTATGAGGAAACAGAGTAAACACACTAAAATGTTTTAAACCCTGATGTCACACTGCCAGTGAAGGTGTGGCTGACTTCACTTGGCTGTGATGAGGATATCCTGTTTGCTCGGACTAACACTTCAGAAATTATCAGGTTAAAGCCTCGTTTAAGGAGCTGTTCAAACACAGAGAGGAGAAAAATCATCTTAAAGGCTGACAGACAATCGGAGAACAACCTGCTCATATTTGTGTCTACACTTCAGCCTGTGTGGTGCTGCGGTAGCTCGCCACTTTAGTCCCTCCTTAAACAGGCTGTTCACCTATTCAGATCCTGTTTACTCTAAGAAGCAAGCTGAGCTCTCACTTAGTATGTTATTAAACACTGAGCCACTGAAGGGAAACGGACCTGCAAAGTTCCCCAGGTACAAAGCACCTAGAAGGTCATTCAGTTAGTTAACGTTACTTAAGGACACGAGGGCAGTTTAAGCTGGCACTGACTGAGGGGTGGGTGGGTAAGGAGTTTATATTTAGGCCTTCTTGTGTCAGTCTGAGGTCACATGGTTTGTCTTTAAATAACCTCAGTCATATAAAACAACCATTATTTTTACCAGTGCATAACCTCAGGAAGTCTTTCATCTACAGCACACTTATTGATTATTAAAGAACATGATGTACACTCTCTGTGTTTCATATACCCAGTTTAAAAAATGGAAACATTTACTGACTATTGAACCATAACTCTGGTTTCACACCGCGAGGCTGACACCTGTTTTTACTGCATGACGCGCAGCACCACCCATGACTCATCTGACGGGCGCAGCGTTTCGTCTTTTCTGCCTCGGAGTTGCTGCTTCTCGCCGCCCCTCCCCCCTGGCATGAGGTCGCTTTGTGGCTGCCGCTAAACGGCACACCCTCTGAAGATTTCTGCTTTTCCATCTGGAGCTGCTAAGAGCTGAAGTGGCTCGCTGGCACAGCTGTAAATTACCAGATGTGGGAAGTGGTGTCGCTTGTTGTGCCAGAGAACATGGCATCTGGAGGGCCTTATTTTAGGGGGACATTAAATCTCAGACATCTTTAAAAATGAGACATTTTTAAAGTTTGGGTTGTTTGTAAGCGGAACTTAAAGTTCATCTTCTTCTCCTTGGCTCAGCGTGGCGTCTCTGTGGCCGAGCAGCTTCCAGCTTCTGTTGGCCCCAGCAAGTCTGAGCACTGTCTTTACCTTCAGTAGTTCAAGTGGGAGCAGGCCGAATGAAAGGTGTCCTGTTTGTAAAGTTTGTCCTGTAACAGATGCATGAATAGTATGCAGTGAATCACCTGTTTCCATATCCTCAAGCTACTTCCAGCAGAAGGAATCCTCTGTGTTTCAGGAACATCAGCAGGCAGAGTGATGTCATAACATGTCATCATACTAACAAAACAAAAAGGATATAATAAAATAAAAAAGGACAAAGATGATTGAGTATGATTTGGTTATGTTTTTGTTAATTTTGCATCATTTTGGACTTCAAACACACTGACGCAGCCAGGCGACTCACCTGTTTCCGTGTCCTCGAGCTACTTTCAGCAGACGCTCAGCTCAGATCAGCTGGCAGGATGACATCACCCGATGTTTCAGAAAAACACTCATTATCAGCGTCTGTCTGTCGTTAAGGCCTGTGCAGCTGAACAAGCACATCTCCTTCTGGGATTCTGCTCATCGTACAAAGAAGACAAAGACAAACTAAACTAATGTTTATAAGGATAATGTTTTTTTACGTATTTAATTTTGATCCTTTTGGACGCCGTAGGTTCAATAACACAACCAGGTGACTCACCTGTATCCTTATACTGCTGCACTCATCAAAAGATCAAATATCAAATATTGTCTTAAGTGTGCTTGAGTGGCTGCAGCTGTGAGGCGATCACCATGTTTCACGATGTGGACTTTCCCGCTAAGAGTGTGGAGATAAAGGCGAGTTTACAGTTCTCACGCTGCACAGAACACGCAGGACGAGTTGATTAGTGAAACTTAGCGCGCACCTCTCACTGGAGAGTAAACACAAGAAAAACTGAAACTTTAAGTGCTACTGTGGACACATTTTTCCCATGAGGCCGTGTTACCACAGCTTCCTGTTTGCATGTTATCTAGTTAGTTTAGAATACTTTGCATGTAAATGAGAGAGTTGCTCATATGGAAGCATGATGGGAAAAATACAGTCCAATAAGGAGCTTTTATGACTCCTACTTAAAACTAAAGCATCAGGGAAATTCTTTTATGAACCCATATTTTAACCCATGAAGAGCTTCAGAGGAGCTTTGCCTCGTGTTTATTGATGTTTTTGTCTTTTCTTTGTCGTTTTATGTCCTTCCAGGCATCCTGGGTTTCTCTCAGGACCGAGTTCTCTGCTCTGAAACCCGCCCAGCTTCACCACATGTTGAGGGAGTACAACTCTGGGAAGGCCTGCCCCCCCGGATGGAGCCCGTCACTGGGTGATGCAGAGGACGCCGTCAGAACGGGTAAAGAACAGACTTATTGAATGATGACGTAGCAGCCTTGTCTGTGGTCATTTTTAGCCTGTCCGGCTTTTTACCAGCTCTGTTCGTGTGCAGTACGTTTTTAGTTCTCTGTGTAACTACAGCCCACGGGCTCACAGTGTCCCAAACACCAAATATTTGAATGCTTCAGAAAGAATCGCTGTTGTGGACGGATCATCGCAGATGTTTTCTTAGCTCAAGTTTGGTCCTTCTCAGTGTCTTCTTCCTGCCATATTATGGTGTTTGAGTCTCTACATGCACTTTTCCTGAGAACAAGTTAACCTTCATTCTATCCTCCAATTCTCATAAATCTTCCCTCTGCTAATGTGTTTAAGAGCCTAACCATATTTCTTTAGGAAGCACAGCACTGTAAGTCAACCCGTCTGACCTCAGCGACCCTCCAAACCTCGCTGCTGCTACATCCAAAGTTATATTAATGCTTTCAAAGTCATGTCAAGTTTTTTTTCTTACTACTAACATGAGTCATAGCCCCATAAATTCTCTCTATTTTATTGTAACACCTGAGAGGACAGCCACACTGATCGATTTATTGTAACTGAAAGAATTTGAAGTGTTTTTAAATCTCAGTGCTACTCAGAGATTGTTTGTTTTTTTTGGAACAGACATTTGGAGCATTTGGGCCCCAGTATAGTTAATAACAGTCGATTTAACGAGCAGTTTCCACTTAAAATCGTTCTAAGGATTAACTTAATGCACAGATTCTAAATGATCAATTTTAGAGGCCTGCAAAGGTCACATTATGAGGTTGGAGGGTTAGCAGTGGCCTAGTCAGACCTTTATGTTTTGGTTTTTTCAGGCCTTAAAAACATCTTAGTCAGGTTTAGGAAAACCTTCTGTTTTAGGGCTAAAGCACGGCCCATCACTAAACCCTGCAGGCTGAAAAACGATGAGTTTGGACTCATCTCAAACTTCAAAGAGCCAAACCTCGTCTGTAATTGAGAGCGCTTAGCACCTTTGAGAAGAATGTTGTTAATTGACTCGTGGCAGGTATGAACGAGCTGCTGTTCTTCAGCTGCTGCCAATCAGAAAAATAAACCAACATTTTCTGATTAAGCAAATTAGCACAAAAAAATATATTTTTCTAATGCCCCTAATATGTATGCAAATATTTGAATGTTTCATATTTACAAATGTAAAGACATCACATTGGGTTTTGGCTAACTGTGATGCCTTTTTTTGTAATAACTTTTATTGGGAATGAATAATAAATGCAACTGCCTAATACATTCTCCTGTCATCAACAGTTCCCGTTACTTTTGCTTGGATTTCATAATTAAAAGGCTGTGACAAAGAGCTGACAAAGTGCATTTTAATGCAATCTTTGTGAAGTTCTTCATACTGCAAGTGTTTTTTGTTACTAGAAACATTTTCAGTTTTGTCCTCCCTACAAGACGACCTTGTTTACAGCAAACTGCAGTAATCAGACTCCTCGCTCAGGAGGAATCAGAACGACCTGTTGTGCAGCTTTGCACGCTCAAACTTGTTGTCAGACAATTTTGACTGAGGAATATGTCATTATAAATAACAGGGCAGGCAGCAGGTTTAATAATGTGATTAAAAAACAAAAAGAGAAGAAGAGACTCTCCTCAGCAGCTGAGAAGCAATCTTGAAATTCCTGAAACATCAGCTGACGACGCCTGTTTATTGTTATACTCATTATATTGTCAGGTATTTATCCTGTGCAGCTGTGAGCGCGTCTCCTTTCATGGTTTTGTGCATATTTATTTAGAGGTCGAGGTGTAGAGGTGTAACATTTACGGAGGCCCAAAGCTGTGAATCTCAACAAAAATCAAAGTTAAAATATAAATGTAAAAAAAACATGGATTTCAGATGTCAATCAATATAAATCAATATAATAATCAATAATCAATATAAAGATTATTATTTCAAAAAATGAATTGTTAATTATATCTTGTTAGTTTTGCAAATGAACTGATAACAAAACTATTCCAGAAAGTCGAGCAAACTTCAGAGTTAAAAGATTTACACTCTAACTCAGAGCTGCTGGAGTGAAGCTTCTTCATCGGGGGAGCAAGACTCCGCTTAACGAGCTGAAACTGAGAAAAAAATGAACATTGGCGGGATTAATGTGGGCGTACGGTGGAGAGTAATCCTGGCCTGTCAGCCTGTTTCCACCAATCACAGTTAACTCGCAGCCACCACCACCACCTCACTCTAACCTTTTTCACCTCCAACTTCAGATTAACCAGATTCCATCAAAGTGATTTTGTTGAGAGGTATTCATCATGCGAAGGATACAAAATATTTAACTAAGTGAAGATAAAACAACCCTTTTATCGCTGTAACCATAAAAAAATGTTTCAGCCGGCACGTCTCCTTCTGAGCTACAGCTGTTTGTGAGAACCACCTTTCACCAGTTTGGCTGACGTATTAGAAGTTTGCGCTTTAATGAAGCTGCATTTCTTTTTATTTGTGGTGACTTCAGATTTTCCGTGTAGGCAGCGAACGATGGTGACTAGGGGATCGCCCCTGATTCAGCTCTGATGCCCTCTCTACAGTCACCATTCTGGTTTAGTGCAACATGCTGCCTGCAGAGCTACTGATTGGTTGCACGTCACAATGAAAAACATAATTTACTGGTCTCCTTGATTACAAAGAATTGGTATCAGTCTGGTGACCCGTGATCAAAGCCTTTCTTAACAGCCTGTAGTGTATGTACTGCTTTTAATCAACGTTAAACCAAACTCAGCAGCTCCACATAAACATGCAGGATCAAATTTTATTAGAGTTGTAATGAAGTTCAGGTTGTTTTTGATGGATGGTGATTGGACTTTCCCTTCTCCTCTTCTTCATTTGCGCAGCCGACATCCTGGAGAGCTTCGACAACCACCCGCCGCTCATCCTGCCCAGCAGCACGTTTCACCTGGAGCTAGGCAAACCCATCGTGGAGCCGGCGCTGTTTGAGCAGCTCGCACGTCTGCAGGACTTCATCAGCCAGCTTCCTCGCAGTGAAACCCGAGCCGAACCCGAAGCGGAGGAGCAGGTAACGAGCTCTCTGCGCCGCCATAACGAGACAGCAGTAAATGAGACACTTTGATGTTTCCGCGTCTTCTGTTGATTCATTTTACTTTGCCCAAACTCAGCCTGTCAATGAGACGACTACAGACAGCCAGTCTGTGACCTCGACCTCGGTCAGAGTCGCCCAGGATCCCGCCGAACAGGCGGTCTCCGACCCGGTAGACCCAGACTCTCTTACATCTGCGGAACCAGCTCAGGCCCGGGTCCCTCCCGGTGATCTGAGCAGCTGTGAGGCCGTCCTGGCCCAGAAGCTGAAGAGCCTGGAGCTGCAGAACACCCTCCCAGGACAGGCCGACATGGGCTACCACAAGAGCCTGGCGCTGGACCCATCCTGCCTGCTCACGCCACCCAACACCCCACAGGGGATGGAGCTGGCTGAGCTGGAGGCTGACCTGCAGGAGGGCACCCGCCAACTAAAGAAAGGTGAGAGTGTGCTACAAATCAGGAAAGAAGTATCAGTCCGAATCTCAAGTAAATACAAACCCAAACAAAGCTCTAAATATCTATTTATCTACTCTTTGAACCCTGAACACCCTGAACATCAGGCTTTAACAAACATTCACCTTCCATAAGTTTGGTATGAAGTTACTGTCATAAAAGTTATTTATATTTTGTTTCTGCTGTAAAGATGTTTCAAGAACACAACAACTTCCATGTGGGATACGAGGGCCTGAAGCCATTGATGGAAATATATGAGCGTTAATCAGTACTGCAAATCATTTTCAGAGCTCAGCTTATGTTTTTCTGGCTTCTCAGATGCTTTAGTGGGTTTTTTGGTTGTCAGTGAGTGTAGAACATGTTCAGCAGTCACTAAAACAAAGATTGAGCCCCCTTAGTTGGTGCACATGCCAACAACCTGACCACATTTTTGTAGTTCTTTCTTGGCTTCATTGGCATGCAGCAGGTTTTAATTCAGATGACGCACAGGGTGACTCCCACCTTTGTCTCCGTCCTGAACCTCCTTTAAGTCTTTAGGGGAGTATTTAGCAGCCTGACCCTGTGGGCCGGCTGCATATTTGTCCACATAAAGGTGGCTTCGCCCTCCTCCTCCTCCTCTTCTTCTTTTACTGACTCTGGAGGTCAGGAATTTCAAGTGGAAGGCTGCTCAGGGTGGGTTCACTGTGCAGAGGAAAGAGAGCTTCCTCTCCAACCCGTATTGTTTATGGACGCCTCCGTCATGAGGTCATCTGTAGGAGTGAGAGGGAGTCGCTGAGAAAATAATGAGTCAATTCCCAAGTTTCAAACATTTTTCGACCCAACTGTGAAAAATAACGACATCCAGAGACTGTATATAAAGACGGACAACACGGCATGACGCACACTCGCACTGTGGCGGAGCCTTCAGGGGAAATTTGGGTTTCTGTTAGTTGGGGACTCGCGCCACCTCTTGAGCCACAGCCACTGGAGCTGCTTGTTGCCTTCAGCTCTAAGATGTGTTTTTAGTCCCAAAGTAGGTAGAAACATTTCCTCAACACATTTACCAAATACACACCAAAGACACAACATGCATATAAAACAGAGGCTGTAATGGTTAAAAGTGCTGTAGAGGATTCAGGAAGGAGGATCTGCTCCAACGATCCCTCACATCTGAACCTTCAGGAACGCTTTTCATCACCTGTGCTAAGGCGCTCGCTGACAGATGCCCCGGTGGGCCTCAGCGCTCCAACAGAAGCAGGATTTGGTTGATCTTAATCAGACGTCTTTACTCTCATTGGTCACTTGTTGCTTGTGTTTTCCCTCTTAACGCTTTTAACAAAAGTAATTTGCTGAGAAGCTTTGAGGATTACACTGGACCTGAGCCATCTGGCACCTTCTCTCTACTTAAGGGCAGGAAATCCCTCAGTTTAATCTGCACCGTTTATACTTTTATATAAAGGTGGATCCATTAAATGTTAAATGTTCATTCCTTCCACTGTTTGAATAATTTCCTGCTTCTCCTTCTTCCATTACAGATAAGCACTTGTGTGTGTGTGGGGGGGTTGTTGGTATTTTTATTCATTTATTTTTATTTATGCTTTATGGACTAACGATAAAATTGTTTCCAAGGAAAATAATTGGCACATTCCTATATGATTTTAAAATCTGCAACGTTTAACTGTAAATTAAACTAAGACCAAAGTAAAGAGGAAAAGCTTTAGTTTTCTTTTCTCTTTACAGTTTTATGATAACAGCCCATTGTTGTTCAGTCTAATTGCAGGGGAATTTGAACGCTTCAGTATTTTCATCAAGTATTAAATAAATCATGATGAGAAGTGATAAATTTGTCCCTTCCAAGACAGTTAAAGTTAAGGTTACCCAAGTTCATGTGATAACAACCAACGGCTATTTTTTTCAGTTGTTTAGCTTCTAAAACCTCCAAAATCACATGAAAACTTTATGTGGCATGAATATAACTTCATAAGAACTGAGACACATTCTGCAAGGAAAGCTATTTTTAAAAGTTTTCTTTAAGAATATTGGCAAAAAAACAAAAAAAGAACTTTGTTTTCTTCTGTTTTGTCCTTATAATAATAATAATAATAATAATAATAATAATAATAATGATGTTGTCAGTCTTTTGTTTTTTAAAATGAAGCAAATGAATAAAATGAAGCGTTTGAGCATCATGCTGTAAGTTATGTAAATAGAGTTTTTATATTCGTCCTGCGCTCGCCTGCATCTAGCTCTGAGGTTTCAGGTACGCGTGATGATTGGTGAAGGTTTGATGACAGAGGGGAGGTGATGTCAGGGAAGGAAAGCAGCGGCGGATCCGTCATGGGAATTTACAGCTGGGTTGGTGCGTGGAATCTTAATCGGCAGCGGTATTGTTCAGGGCAGGTCCTGCGTGGGGGGCAGACAGTGGGGGGGGAGGGGGAGGATCAGGGTTTATTTTTGGGGAGGGGGAAGGCTGCTGTCGATGGTGTTTTGACAGGTCGACCCCAAGCGGCAACTTCAGGACAAAAATAAAATAAAATGATGTGAAAATCTGCAGTTCCTCTAATGCTCACTTGAGGCCTCAGATTATGTCATGTGAAACGCTTGTTAGCTTCCCTAACAGCTAACGCTCTGGCCACGCATCATTGGCTGACGTCACTGTGGCTACGTCCATCTTTTATAGCAGCGTGAAAAAGACTGAAAATAGATTCAGTCTGTGATGTACATGCAGAAGCTCCACCCACCAGACTTATTGGAGAACAGTGTGGGAATCAACTCCTGGACGCCTCTTTGATCTGATGTGTTTGTCTGTGTTTTTTTAGCCAGTGGAAGTGTTGGGAGGAAGACGGGAAACGAGGAAGCAGCAGCAGAGGAAGAAGAAGACAGAGAGGAAGTGTTTGCGGTGGAGCTCCACAAAGGGCCTCACGGTCTCGGGCTGGCACTCGTAGATGGGACGGTAAGTATTCACAATCACTGTTTGTAAATAAAGTAGTAGGCAGGAGGAAGTGTGTTTAACTGATGAGATCGGACGCTAATTAGTTCAGACTGCAAACTGCTGGAAGGCTGAAAGCTCTCATTTAATCACTAAATGTTCCTGCAGTCCAGACTCTACAGATCAGTGCTTAACACCGTAATGACACTGTGACAAATAAGGTGCTACAACACAATAAAACTCTTACAATGAACTGAATCTGATGTGTTTGCTTCCTTATGCTTATCCCGAAATACGTAGTTAAACAATTGTTTGGCAGAATGATCAGAAAACACCAACATGTAACAAGTTCCACCTACACTGCAATATTTGCTTGATTTTCTTCCATTGTCTTTTTATGTCATTTTTTTAATCTGTTGATTCTGACAGACATCTTTTAAGCTGTGTAATAAAAATACAAATCCTCCTCTTGGGAGCTTAAATATCTTTTTCTGCTTTACTGCAGAGCATCTGCAGTGTGTCACTCCTCTTTTACAGCAAACTTTCAATCAACAAATTTTCTAACCACCTCTCTAATGTGTTTACAGCATCATGGCAAAATTCTACTCCCACCAGGGATGAAAAAATATTTAGCAAATATGAGGGGCATATAGATCTTAATTATAAAAATGTTGTAATCCCTTCAGTGCTCCAAGTTATCACATTTTTTGTCATGTTTTTATGTCTTCATGTAGAAAACACCGCTGAGAATGAGCGGCATTTATGTGAAGTCAGTCGTTCCCGAGTCCCCGGCCGCCAAATGTCAGAAACTCAGAACGGGCGATCGAATCCTGGCCGTGAACGGTGTCAGCCTGGTCGGGATGGAATATAGCATGTGAGTGTAAAAGTACAGATGGCATATCAATTGCAATTGTGATGTTTGCAAAAACTCAGTCCAGCATAAACACATGAGAGACCGAGCAAAGAGAGCTAGCTAGCAATAGTTAAGGACAGGAGGAGTCGGTGTCTGATGTAAGTCTATTTGGATGTCGTCAACGTACAATTGATTAGCAGTACAAAGTTTTTAAAGGTTGATCTAAGTAGTAGCACATATCATGGAAGTGGAGCCATATTGAGGTACAGCACAGGTCATGTAGGCCGTTGTTGTTACCAAAGCTTTAACAACAGCAAAACACATGATAAACTGTGCTTAATAAAACATATACCATGTAAGTAAAGTATAAAAAGCACAAAAAAGAAAATCATATAAAGAAAACTTAAGACATCTAAGAAAACAGTTCACAGATTAATGTGAGGTATCGTGGAAATCCCAGCACTGTTTGTATTTTTAATCTTTCGACTCTAAATATAAACATTTTAAATAGAAAATAGCAGAAATCTAAAACACGTCATTATGGTATCACTGTAAAGCAAAAGGCTCAACAACTGACTTCCAACTTATTGTGTGTTCGTTTCAGTGGGCGGGAACTGATTCGCTCATCCGGAGACACACTTAAACTTCTGGTTGCCAACATGGACTCGAAAGCAGGCATCAAAGCCTCCACTTTGGCAACTTGCTGAAGGAAGAGCGTTAGTGGACGATAAAGTGCAATTTGGGAATACCGGAGGGCGTGAGCTTCATCCCAAAGTCAGTATTTCTCACAGGATGGATTCCCCCCCAAACCAAAGGAACACGAACTTCCTCCTTTTTGTTTGTGACTCATTGTGGGATAGAGACAATCAAACTGAACTCAGACTGTAGGCGCTTTGCTGGCGGGCAGAGGGGGAAGACAAGTTTTAAAAGCTCTTTTTTTCTTTACCAGCTTCTAAAAACAAACTCAAAAACGGTGAAAGGGGGAGTAAACCAGCCCCCGAAGAGCGCCGCCAAGCCGCTCCCTGATCCCTCACGTCTGGCTTCAACTGGAACTATTTCCAAATTCATTTTTAAATTCTATCTATTTAAAAAAACTGTGAAGCTTTATATGTTACACTCCAAAACCAAAATATGTTACCCAGTTGTTTACTGTGTTAGAGAGAAGTACCTGCCTGTGGGCATGTCTCAGATCCTCATAAGTTTCCAAAACAAGGAAAATTGTCTTTGTGTTGCAGCGTTTGTTTCATCGCAGGAACGACTGAACATTAACCCTCAGTTTTCTGCTGTTTCAGGTTCTTCCTTCTATAGATTCATCATCAGTCTGCTGCTGTAACACCAGAAAATATTATCAGTCGTTTAGAAGTAAAATTTAATTAGCACTTGTAGCGTGTTACTCATTTTTCCACACACACAAACACACACATAAAAAAGCAGGTAAAGGTGTGTTTGGTTTCTTTCACTTGCAGGCAGATTTTCCCCCGAGCAGATTATGTTTCCAGGTTAAACACTAACTCGTGCTTTAAAGCAGCGGTTCTCAAACTATGTCAAACACATACGATTCAGGGAGAGTTATTGCGAGGAAGCTTTAATGTTACGGATTATAGGAAAGTGGATCAGCATGATGTGTAGGAAGCATCATGGTTAAGAGAAGACCGACTCTGAAGATGACATTTTTGATTGACCAGCCATTTTCCAACCCTCATTTATGTCTACGAGTTGTGGGTAGTGACCCCTCAGAAGAAGAAATGCACTTCCTCCTTAGGTTGGCTCAGTCTGAAACATGTGGTGAGGGGCTCAAAGTAGAGCCACTACTTTATGTCATAAGTAGCTGTGGTGGTGCAAACATTCGATCAGGCCTCCTTGAGGCCATCCTTTGGAGGTTTTCCAGGTAAATCCAACTGGGAGAAGATTGTGGAGTAGACTAAGAGTTCCTTGAAGAGATGATCTATTTCTTCAGGCCTGATGACGCCTCAGGATCCTCCAGAAGAATGGGAAAATTTTACTGGGGTAAAGGGTTTCTGAAATACCGTGCTTAGTGAGGTTTAGTAAAATTCAAATATCTTGTTGACTCTTCCCGTGTCAGTCCACTGACTTTAAGTGATTTGAGCTGTTTAGAGCTTCGTTAAAGAAAACAGGAAGCCTTGAAAGTATGTCCAGAGGAAGCGGATGACATGGAGGAGATCCACATCAGGGTAAAATGAGAAACGGCACCAGATATCCTCAAACCAAAGGCAGTTAGGGTCAGACACATAAAACAAGTGGCCAGGGTTAGGAAAAAAAACTGCTGGGTCAGCTTCAAGTTAAATTGCAGGTTAGGTTTAGGCACTAAAACCAAGTGGCTGGAGTTGGGATTAACCATGAGAATCTTTTTTAGGGTATAGTTACGTTGCATCTTTGACCTGTTGGGCATATACGGAGAGATCGGTAACTTCTTCTGGTTTAGACTAAGCCAAAGTGGTTCACCAGGAAGTTAAGAAGTTAAATTAAGACGAAGTCAGAGGATCACAACTAGCACTGCAGGTTATATTTATCAGTTACTCCACAGCTGATTTTCTTTATCTTTTTGCTGTACAATATGGTAAAACCCTTGTTTGTTAAGCTGTGGACAACCAATTAAAAAAACTTGATTAATTTTTAGAGCTACTTTTTTATTTTGTATTAACTGATAAAAATATGTAGGTTGTGAATCTTTGTGAGGCATGTCAAGAGAAAAAGTTTGAGAACCGCTGCTTGGAAGTTTTGCTGCAATCCAGAGAAACAGAAAAATAAGTTATTGGTAATCATAACCACAGTGAAGCCTCTTTATTATCAATTATTCTACAGGTTATTTGCTTCATTGATCTTTCTATAAAACAATAAAAAAAAAAACCTCATGAGTCCAAACCTAAAGAATATTTTCTTTTGTTTACTTAAATGAAAAGCTGTTTACGCACTACAGAGCCATCTGTAGCCTGGCTACACAGAGGTCAGAGGTCAGGGTGACGTCGTACACCTATTCCACTTACTGATGCATGACCCACATTTCGATAGGATCAGTTTTTCAGAAGAAAGCTCTGCAGAAGGGGAGGCGTCTGAGGCACCCACACTAAGTCCAGCCTTGAAAATATGAAGGAAATTAGCACAAAGAAAAGAGAAACGCAGCTACTTTAATGTTAAATACCAAACATGGTTCATGTTGTCTTATTTTTTTAGGTCAACACACCATTAACTCATTGAGACCATTCAGCAGATTAGCCTCACACATTTTCCTACACAAACGCCCTGTTTGTCCCAGCTTCTTACTGGGATAGTTTATTGGGATTTTGGCACCATAGATGTCGGATTGTGGCCTAAACCATGCAGAGTATTCCTGGTAGTTTGAAGCAGATTTTTTCCTGCTGTGTTAAACATGGAAAAAAAAGTAAAAGCACTAAACTTCATGTGAGAAAGCAACTTAAAAGTTAAAAAGCTTTTGGGAACATGACAGTACACATTTTATGAGGTATTGGGTTAATTGCCTCATTAATGTGGCTCTAATTACAGTTTAGTTTCCCTCCAAACCGCAGAGCTCAGGCCAAAAATAAAAATGAGACATTTAAATTCCAGAACTTCTCCAAACTCCTCTGGAAGAACTCAGTTTATTATAGGAAACATAAACCCGACTTTGTTCTGCTCAGCATTAACGTGTTCAGCTGGTTTAATAAACGAAAGCATAAAACATCTTCTGATGTATTAAAAAAGACTGCCGCAGAGCTCGATCACCTGACGTCTGTCTGTGTTTTTCATCTGTTTTGTAATATTTATACTGCGCAGTATTTTTGAGCCTGTGGAATAAATATTATTTTGACTTGGAAAACCTGCCTCATTTTACGGTCTGTTTCCTTAAATCGGGCCTGTGTTAGTAAACAGGAGGAGGCGGCTTTGGGGGTGAAGCTGGGATGTAAAAGCTGGGCTGGGTGGAGCAGCAGCAGCAGCAGTAGGAGGAGGAGGGAAGCTGTGGGGTGTGGTAGCTGCATGGCACGCTTTGGTGGCCACTGTTTATAGCGACTCTGCGGTTTCCACCAGCCAGGCACTTTCCACTGACTCCAGCATGGCAGCGTTCAGCCAACGAGGCCCTGCAGGGAAAAGCGCCACTCTGACCTGGTGTGAAGATTTGCACATGCCGGCTTAAACTGCATCCCCGAGGGTGTAATTAAAGCATGAGCTGACCGCGAGGAGCTGAGTGAGGCGTTCCCTGCAGCTTTCTTACATAAATCCTCCTTTAAATGTTGCTGAGGTCTCACTCGAGGCGCTCATTAGCTTTCATTTATGCTTTGTTTTAATTTTTATTTCTTAATTTAGTTTGTGCGGAGTTCAGTTCTTTTCAATGATAAAATGGGAAGACCTGAGTGAGGTCATGAGGCATCTATCGCCATGTTTGTTAACACTAGCAAACAAAAAAGGGATACTGAAGACATACCTGCATATTTTTATATTTTACGAGCAGCAGAAAACATATTTTAAAACTGGTTGGCCGACTTACCAAATTACTTGATTCATGGTACTAAATTGTGTTTAGTAAAACAGTACTGTTGTATCCACCAGTAAAGCTGTAAAGCTAATATTTACATTAGTAACTGCCAACATGGGGGTGGTTATCCAGCTAGCTGTCACTGAGGTCATCAGGGGCATTAATGTTGTGGTAATTTGGGGCTTTTAATGATTTCTTCAAGGTGTTCTTTTACCAGGGAGAAATGGCTGCACAGCATACATCTTTAATGACTAAAACAAATACAAGAACTTGGTTAATGAGTTTGAATTAATTTGGGATTTTCTCTAATCCACGCAGGTTCAAATATATATACCCGTTCTGGTTGCCATTAACAACCTGTCACACTTCTGGGTGGATATGTGTCTACTCTACGTAGCAGAACTGACAGAGATGATATAAATTGGTTGGTTTGCTGTTGCAGACCTGATTTTTAAACATAGTCCACACAGTTTCAATAGGGATGAGGTCGGGGCTTTGGGAAGGCCATTCCAGAAGCTCAACATTAGCTTGTTTTATGTTTGGGATCGTTGTCTTCTTGGATCCCAACTGTGTCCAAGTTTAAACTGTCTAGCTGTTGTTGATATCTCTTGCATGATTACAACAGCGAAACAGCCCCAGAGCGTAACGCTACCACCGCCATGCTTGACAGTTGGGACAGTGTTCTTAGGTTTAAAGGCCTGTCATTGCATTTGCAGCTGCAAATTTCAAGCTTAAAGGGTTTTTCTGGATTTTAGAGCAGGGTCTTCTTTCTTGGTGAGCACACTCTCAGTCCGTGGTGATGTAAAACTTGCTTTCACTATGTAAAGCTGGTTTTACAGCAGTGTCTTGAGTCCTGGTTCCTTGGTTATTCCTGAACATCCTAACAACTTTTCTTATTCCAGACCTTGGTAAAGTGATGACTCATTCACAGACCTTGTTCTTAGGTAAATCTACAATTCCCCTTAGATCTTCTCTGAGCTCCTTGACTTTCCCATTGTTCTGAGTATTTGTCAATCCAATGAATGTTGTCAAAGAAATCATTTTTATCCTGGCAAAGAGGAACTACCAGCTGAAGTCAATCATGACTCCAATGAGAAGTTAATAGCCTTTGGACTTGTCAGGATAATATATTGTAGAAAACTCAGCACCCGCTTATTTAAAGATTTAAGTGAGTGTATGCTGTATATTTGAGCCTGTGTGGATTAGGAAAATCCATATTAAACATGTGCACCACATTTTTGTTTCATTAAAGTCATTAAAGATGTCTGTTGAGCAATTATTCCATCCAGGAAAAAGAGGATCCCTGAAAGCCCAGAAAGAACACAACATTCATGTGTATGATTAGGGTGTGTTTACTTCTGACCTCAACTATGTGTGATATTGGGTGCTGTTCGAAGTCACCTTTGTTGTTGTTATATTGAAACTCAGGTGTATAACAAAACTGGTGTCTGCAGTAGGTGCAGGTACCTCAAAACAGCTTTGTAATTCACAGACCCCGATTCGATGCAGAGTCCTGATTCGACCTAATGTAGTGGTCGTAGTTGAGGATGGGACAGTCTGTAAATGGCAGTCTGTAGTCATAATACACGGTGGCCTCTGGAGGACTCTCCTCTGGCCCTCCTTTGAAGCCGCACTCCTCCAGCGTGCTCTCCAGGGGCAGGCGGGCCTCCTCTGTTGGCACTCTGCTACTGAAAACCTCCAGGCTCGAGGTCTGGATCCCAGCTCGGTCCTCGATCACACTCATCAGACCAAAAACTGTGCGGCTGCTCGATAAAACAACCTCAAAGTTTCCAGGGTGCGCTGTGGCCGAGGTGAAAGGTATCAGTCGGACACTCAGACGGATGAACCTGGCGGTTTAAAGAAAATGAAAATTTAGTTTTGAGTTTAGACTCTATAAAACTATGTGACTACACTATATATTTTTTATTGAATTGAAAAAAAAAACAAAAACAATTTCCTTCATGGTCAACCTTCGGGATCAATAAAGTTTTATTGAATTGAACTGAATTGAATTGAATATATACAGAAGATGCCCCAAAATGTATTTTGTAACGTATTCTGTTACGTTACTCAATGAGTGTAACGTATTCTGAATACTTTGGATTACTTAATATATTATCATGCTTTTTACAACTACATGAATGTACTATTGCTGTGTGATTTATTACTATTACTGAAGGTTACTCGCCATACCAATAGCAACTAGATTTTTAAATCTTAATATAAATGAGTAACAGTAGGTGGACATTAGGTAAGGCTGCACTTTTTGCAGCGATCTCGTATAGAAAACTATTCGCGCGTATATAAAACAGGTCCGCGGCTCCGAACCGTAGTAAAGGGACCTCTGGCTAATACGTCGGGTTCGTGTCGGGCTCGTAGCTGAAAACTAGCTTTACTTTGTTGTCTGGGTCAACTTTGCTAGCGAGAGACAGAGAGAGGCGTTGAAAGGCTGCTCCAACGGAACTTATTGTTTCGGAGGAAAACACGAACACAGTGTACAGTCGAGTCTTAATAGCTTACTTACAACTGGACTACACTGCCCATGAGGCTACATTCTTTAGGGCTATGCCTGTAACACTCTGCCTATTGCCTTCATATTAAATAATTTTTTGAACAATAATTTTTAAAACTATTTCTTCACGTCATTGCAGGCTGCAGTTAGAGCTGACATGGGCCAAGAGATTGAGACACAGGCATTAGAGGGGACAGCCTAACATATAAAACAGGAAAAGACCGTCGTGTAATCCATTTATTTCAACAAAGTAACTGTATTCGGAATGCCACCTTTTTAAACGGTAACTGTAACGGAATACAGTTACTCATATTTTGTATTTTAAATACATGTATTCCGTTACTCCCCAACACTGTTTCTAATTAACCAGCAGGGGGCGACTGCTGTGGTATTAAGAATAATGTGAGAATCTTGTCATTTGATTTACAGTGTCCTGATGAATTTCTGGTCTGAATCACTAGTTTAATGTCTGAATGGTCGTCATCATTATAGTAAATTAGGGAATAATTTAGAGCACAGCACTTACATTTGCCATTTGTGACCTGTTGCCAGTTAACCTGATTAGGTACAAAATGTTTCTCCCATTCTTTCTTTTTAGCATAACTTAGTTTTCCAGCCTTTATACTGCCCCCATCCCAGTGTTTTTTAAGGTGTGTTTCGAAAAGAGCCAATGTTTTTCATGAAACATTAAAATATGTCATTTTAACCATTCGATGTGTTTTCCGTGTTAAATCAGATAAATAGAAATTATTCATCTCTAGCTTTTGTTAACATCAGACAGAACGCATCAAGGCTAAATGCAAATAATGAAAATACTGCAAAAACATGTTTGTTTCAGCATCTTAACCACACGTCCGAGAAACAAACTCCAGGCCTAAACCCCTGGAGACTTTCCAGACACGGCATGCTGTTTGCTAATGTAATCAAGCAATCAGTGGGTTTAAATAACATCAGCTTGTGAAATGTAATGTTTTTGACTCTAAGTCTAATTTTATCAAACCAGTACAGCAAAAGAGGGGGGAAAAAGTGAATTCAATTCAACTCGGGCTGTGCACATTATGTTATGTGTGTGATTTACTGCTAAAACATCCTTCTGTGGCACAGGAAAACAATCACAGCAGCCAGGTCAGAAAAAGGCAACGGCACCTGTCAGCGGGCCAGCTAAAGGTCGCCCCGAGTCCTTTGTTTTCAGAGCTGTTGAGGCTGCTTGTGTCCCAATGTTGTCATTTTGGGCGTCTGAGTTACAGGAGCGGAGTCACAGTGTGATTTACAGCTGAGGGTCAGGAATAACTCAGCCTGGTTAACCTCACTCATGGAGGTTTGGAATGAATGTCAACACAGCCTGATTGTGTTTCCCAGGAGCTGCCCAGTTTGTCCCAGTGCAGCCACAGAAACTGTCGAAACTGCTTTTCTCCAGGACATGTCTGATGTCTGTCTGGCTTTATGATATTTTAAAACCAGCTGCTGCTCCTCCCACTTACTCTAAAAACAAGTCAGAGGGATTTTGTGGCTTCATGTCTGCACTGTATGCAAATTTTAAAATTGTAAATCTTTTTTTCTAAATCATTTTCTAGGTAATAAAATCAAGTTAAATTTTAATTGATGATTTACAATCAAAATATAAGTTTTTCCACATATTCCACTAAATATTTATATTTATTTTGGTAAATATAAGGCAATATGAACAGATAATAAAAAATAAAAACAAATAATATAATTGTACATAAGTTATAAATAGTAAAATTTATGAAAATAATAAAATATTTAACTCTTTAAAAAATATTGAACTTCAAGAAATTACACAAACAGGAAAACAAGGTTACATTTATTAATTTTTTTATTTGAAAATTTTCCAAATGCTAAAATCAGCTAATTTTGCCAAAATAGTAAACTTGAGAAAACTTTACAAAAATAAAACTGTGATATTTTTCAAATCATACAAACTCATGAAATCTGTCACATCTATGTTTGTGTATTTGTAAAACGCGGCACTGATTCTTTTATTTGCAAAACTGCGTTCACCTTTATTTTTATCTTTATAGAATGAATGTTCTGTTCATAAAATATAACACATAATGAGCTCAATACCTCTGGGCTTCAGTGTTTTGCAGTCTCTGCTGATGTTTTACATTTTCTGTCTCCACTGGTTCTTGTCTTTTTATGAAGTGCCCTGGTATCTGAGTGTGGAGCTCTGCACTGTCACTGTGGGAAATAAAATCAAGTAAACTCATAAACCTATAAAAGGAAAAATAATCAAATACTGATAGAGAAATACGTTTGTTTCACCTCAGAGACTGTATTTGTTTCATCAAATCTTCATAACTAATCGTGTCATTGAAGGTCTTCAGCTGCTGAGTCAGCATGTGGAGCTGAAACTGCTGACAGGGGACACCCAAACTCATCAAACCTGCAGCACAGAAAAAACATAGAGAGCGTGCACGTGTAAGTGGAACGCCCTCCTCTGAAATCCAGTTTAATAACAGCACAGCCTTTACTCATCTGCACCGAGATTTAGATGGTTGTTTAGTTTTCCTTTTAGGGCTTCAAAGGCCAGGATCATGTGGTGCACAAGCCATATTTTGCCCACATGTGAGTAATTATCTTTAGGACATGAAAATGTCTTAACACGGTTAAAAACTAAGGAAAATGTTACCTAAAGTATAAAATGGTGACATGCCTGGTTAAAAACAAAATAGAGTAAAATAATAATAATTGCAAAGGTTTTCCTTATTTGCTTATAAAAAAAGCTGATGTAGAATGTGAACAAAGTGTCAAATAACATTAACATGAGGACGTGCAATCCCTGCAGGCTTTAATGGTTAAAATGTGATTCCCTCTTTTCTCCTGCAGCTCACGAGTGCCCCTCACAAAGCTTCCAGATGCTGGCCAATAAAAAAAACGCTTTTATGGAGACGTGTTAAAGACGCAGAGACAGTTTTGTTCAGAAGATGAGATAACCTGATGTCTCTCTGTGAATCGTGTATGATCTATAAACCTGGAAATGAAGCTATAAATGATCACATTGGATGTGCTGTAAAAGTAATTTATTGATTATTAAGACCTACAGCAGTGATTCTGTGCTGTAGGTCTTCCCAGTCAGAGTCATAGCTGCGGTGTTATGCTGCAGGTCTGCGCCGTAATCTCTCTGGAAGTTTACTCAGTGTGTCTGAAGTCAGACTGACAAAAGGAACATTGTCCTGGTTTTGTTTCCCAGAGCCAGCTACTCTTATCTGTGAGGAGGAAATGAGGCTCCGCTGACATTACCAAGAGCCTGATTCACAGTACCCTCCATAAATACTTCAGCACAATGACACTGTGGCATTTAGTACTGACTCACATATCTCCTTCTCTTCTGCGATTATCTTTATGTGTCACTCAAAGAAGCGAGAGAGCCTTCTCCCATCCTGGCAAAGAAAATCTCGGATTATTCAGGTCAGGGGTGATGGATTACCCAGCTCAAAGTCCTTCAGGCTGACTGATTCACTTCTGTCTACGTCACCGCAGATGAACAGCTGATCGATCTCCTGCTGATGATCAGAAAACCACCCGATCAACTCGTCCGGGAAGCTCTCAGACTCCCGCTTGTTTGCGTTCACGGAAATCTTTAACCACAGGAAATACCACGTTACAGTAAAATCAGTACAACCATAAACTTTAGACATGAGACACAATGTAAACATAAATAATAAAAAATAAAATGAGAAAAATCTGTGTGAAGAATGCATGTGTGCAACATGTTTATTTGCAGCGCTAAAAGAGGTAGAACTTCCACAATTTCACCCATTTATTTGGGCCTATCAATAAATATGTGAAGATTTCAGCGTGTTTGCAGCTTTTTTCTCTTTAGTGTTTTTTAATCTGAGCTTTTTTGTAAGTCTGACTCTTAAAGACTCAGTTTCCCAGACATGGTTTGCTCCTGGTAGTGTTTGGTTATGTTTGAGGAAGAAGACTGTCCTTTGGTTTAATCGAGAAAAAAAAAATTCACGTGAGAAGCAATTTCATTTACATTCAGCCAAGACCACCTTATTTCCTGAAGTCGATCAAACTGCCCCACATTTAACCAAACAGACCACCATCTCGATTTTAAACTCGCTGTAATGTGACACTTGCAGGCTTTACAGACCCACCATCCACCCCAACAGCCACTTTCTCAAAGTGTTAAGAGTCACAAGCAAATCTGTTTACACCCAACAAACCAGGGGCGGTTAACACCGTACTTCCTAGAGCTTCATCTTTTTCCCAGAAACACACGACTCACGTATCATTCAGAGTAATCGTGCATCTTCAGACACATTTTTCATAGCCTTCTGTTTCTTCTTTATCTTGGATGTTCTGTTTGAGAGTGAAACTTTGTGATGTTGGAAGTTTTCTTACATTTTTTAACTTTTTATGCTGATTTTGGGTGCGTCTGACGCGCTGCTGCTTTTTCTTCTTCATGCTGTGGTTATATGAAGAAAGCTGCTCTCTGAGCTCAGCTCGGTGTTTCCTGTCGATGCCACTGTGAAAGAGCAGATGTTGGACAGTTCAAAGTATCAGTATAATAAAGGTCTACGACGTAATTTAAGGTGGACTTGAGAACTTTTAAGAATGCTATGGATTCTATAAGAAACAAAATTGGAAGAACAGTTTGTTTCTAACTGAGGATGATTATGAAAACATAAAGTAACAAATACGGCATGCAGGGCAACAAACAGGCTGGCAAAACCTGATTCTTTACATTCACAGATGTTACTCTTTCATCATCCCTGAAGTGTGAGCATGAAAGAATCCACTTCTGGTGAATTATTAGTGACGGAAAATCCCGGTGTTCCTGTTAGTTATTTATGACGTTCAGAGAAAACACTTTACTTCTACGACTTCTTATAAAAACCTGTTAGAAGCTATGAGGATGTTGTGCATTGTTTTTCTACTTACCTTCAGTTCTTTATGCTATTGTACTGTTGTATTCTGTCTCTCTTTGCCAACAGTTTCAGCAGTTTTTTGTTTTTATCTGATCCGAATTCAGGTCAGTTTCTGAATTTATATTTTTAAATTTCCATTCTTTCCAGGGACGACAGCTTACGTCACTGGTATTCTTTCAGCCTTTCCCCGTGACAAAGAAACCCAAACATGATGACACAGAGGCTAAATGAGCTCATCAGTGACTGGAAACACGCCCCAAAAAGCTTAATGCTCTGCAGAAAGCCTGATAAATGGTTAATCCTGCTCAACCCCACATCACACATCACAGCAGCAGAGTGACAGAATAAAAAGGATAGCCAAAATGGTTTCGTGATGGCTCATCCTTCCTGCTCATCTTAAACAATGAAGGCAGGAAACAAAGCTACGGTGACCAGTCTGCTGTCTCCAGCTTCCTCACTCCCAGTACCGGTCAGTGCCAGTCACAGGGCTGGGACCTCCTGAATCCAGATATCGAGCCCCTCCTTCAGATACAGACAGAAAATCCTGTCTGGAGATGAAGGTGTATGACCTGGACAGCCAGGAAGATCTCAGTGTGACCAGTTTGTTATTAAGCTGAAATTACACACTTACTGAAAGTGTTGATATATTCACTCCATGGAGTCAAGTCCTGGTACTCGTTATTTGGAGGAAGAGAGTGTGAGTGTTGTAACATACATCAAAAAGACCACAACAGTACTGAAGTGAACAACACTCCACATCATGTTAGAAACCAGTCTTCTGCCGTGTTCTAGACCAATCACACCCCCAGTGCCAATGACGCTCCCCAACAGCAGCAGCTTCCCCCTCCATTAGTGCTGCCCTAATCCAATCCACCAGAACAAGCCTGATCCACGACCCACTGCCACCATCCTGGAGCTTCCACTTCTTTTGTAAAAAAGATCCACATTTAAACGTCTTCTAAAGGTTTTGTAAAAGATGTGGTGAAGAACACATAAAGTTATCTTTCTTCAAATGTCACAAAAGGTTTTGTGTTTTGTTTTTTGTTTTGTTTGTAGGAGACATAATCCACACAATTTTTATCCAGGAAACTGGGGTTCAACTTTTCTTGTGTACTTTTTAACTTTTAAGTTTAGTTTTCCCTCACAGTTTGCTGAGGTTTAGAACAAAACGATCTCGGTAGTTTCCCGACTCTTTAGTCCTATCTTGAGATTTTGATTAAACATAGTGGACGTGAACTTGTTTCATACTTATAGATGCCCCTGAATCCCCTGTGAAACAAGTTAACGAGCTCCTCCTCTCCTCTGATAAAAAATAGGTGGTGATACAGTTCGTACGCTGATGATACGACTCTGCCTGATAAGTCTGCACCATCTTTTTTATGTTATGTTAATATACTGAAATCCCTCCGAGGGTCAACATGAAACACTGAATCATCTGTGAATGAAGAGCTTATTTTATTTTCTGTTTTTTCACAGCTTCCTTTGAGGAAAATGTGACACATGTTGAGTCTTTGATCTCCCGTCCCATAAAAATCCTGCTGGTCTCATTCATATTTATGCCTTGGATTGCTTCAAAGTGCATTTCAGGTTCAACCAGCCTCTCTGGCGCGCTCTTGGTATGTGAGGGCTGTCATTAAGACAAATTCAGGAACACATTCATTCACTTCTGCACAAAGTTATGTATTAACGCAGCCCCGGGTAGCAGCAGTGATGACGCTATGGGCAAAACGCTCAAAGCAGCTGACATGAAACTATCAAAAATCGAAACGCAGAAGGTTTAATCAGACACAAACTGAACTTCTGTCTTAATGTTTATTCTTCACTCTTTGAACAAACATTGCATTTTGACTTTAATAGCTTTAAGCTTTAAGAGCTTTATCTGCCCCCAGGTGCAGCCCAGGATTTATGCTCCAAAGCACCACCATCGGGGAGCTCTGGATGTTTGATTTGGCAGAGTTTTAGCTTTACTTCCTGACCCAACCCCAGTGCTGTGTAAACCTGAAATCTGTGAATAACACCTGACCGTTAGGATCTGTATAAGAACAGTTCTATCAGTTAACATCAGGTCATGATTGGTCTGTAGGTCAATGAATTTACTCCCTGCAAGGCTGCAGCTGTTTACAGTATTAAAGTCAACGGGGAGAATCTGACTCACAGCCACCTGTGAGACAGAAAATCCTGAAGTAAATTTGCACCTGAACAACATATTTTGGTTATGCAACTTTACCAGACATGTTCAGTCCTCCACAGAAAAAAAACAACAACCCACCACTGTGTAACTTCACGGTGACGGAGCTGTGCATAGGTGGGATTTGTTTCTGTTGAAAACTGAAAATGTAAAAGCTGAAAACATTTCTAATGTTCTCGGCATAACAGAACATCTTTATATGGTATGCCCTCTTTTCCCTGATGGTGTTGGCTAACTGACAAACAACAGCACGAGCGGCGTATAGAATCGTTGTTCCACAGTTCGTGACACTTCCCCCTAGTGACAGTAAACAGCTCCAATATGTAGATGACAGTGCAAAGCTGTGTGTCGGCTCTGCTGCACAACCACTTACATATAGCCACATATGTCAGTACGTTATGTCAACAGGTCCTCATCCCAACACGTAACATACCGACGACAGTGACAAATCATCGGTATGTTACACGTTCGGAGGCACGAGAGCGGGTTTGCATGAATCTATAAATGTGTTAAGATTATGATTAAGGTTAGGGCTGGAATAGAAAGCCACAAAGCCACGTTGGGAATGATAATGCTCTGCTTATGCTGGTATAAAATCGGTCCTGTAATGAATTGCCAACCTGTCTTGGCTGTACACCAACTCTGGCCCACCTGGATAGTCTCCAGCACCCTGAATCACTGGATAAGGAGTGAAGACAATGGATGGATAAAACAGATCCGATACTAAGAAGAAACAATATAAATTTATATGACAGTCGAATTGTGATGTTGCAGAGCTCCGTCTGCTGTGCAGGACTCAGAGGATTTTTCATTATGGACTGATACCTGATGAATTTAGTTTCAACAAAAAAACCACTGTGGGAAATGAGAACCACAGAGGGTCGACCTGTTAGACTGAACCGAAAACGTTTGTCCCCTTTATGCAGTTTGGGCCAAAACCCATCATGTTAAAGAACAAAGCGTATCGTTCATCGTTTATATTGTTTGGCCTCAAAATGTTAAATCACAGTTTGTTCCAGACATAAAATTAATGTAAATACTTTTTCAAAATAAAATCTAAATGAAATGTCTGAGCACTGAATATAAATGTGTGCATGTCAACTAACATTAATCACCTGGAGACTCCTCTGGTTTATCTTGTGACCCTTTGGAAGTCACAGTGGAAGAGTAACTTTTTACTGCAGTAACTCTAATCATGTAAGTGCTCTTGCAGGATGAATTTGAAGTACTTTTATAGTTTAATTATTTAACTGCTATCAAAAATAGAGGGGGGAAAAAACAACCATTGCAAAGGTTTATTTAAAAAAATCAAAAATAATTCCCAGCAGATACAGAACATTTTTATGAAACTCAATTTAATATAAATAACTACAAAGTTTGAGTATTGAGTAAAAAAGCTGCCAGTTAATGATAAAACTGTTTACATGAACATGTCAGAGAGCTGTGACCTGTAAGCGCTGTACGACCTGAGGAGAGAGTAATCCCGCTTATGTCGAACACAAAGGTCAAATCTGCAGTTTGGACTCCTGCTGAGATCCTGCGAGCCTCAAAATCCTCTCACAGTTTCTCAGGTGGACGAAAACTGATTTTACTCACTTTATTTTAGCTTAAACTCACGGTCACTGCTGGAAATACACCGCAGGAGTGTTTGTGTGTGCAGCCTGTAGTGTTTGGCACCATAAAAAACCTGACGCGCTGAGTGACTATGAAGTATACGTGAGCCTATAGCGCCCTCTGCTGAGCTCAGTAAGACCTGGAACCAGGTTACTTCTGACATTGACAGGTTAAATAACCATTTATTTATATGATAATTATTTGTGTAATTTATTAAAACCCACAGGAACAGTCACTACAAAAACAAGTTTAATTTTACAATAAATACATCACTTTTTAACAGTTGAATAAATACTTTTATATAACCCATAAAGTTAATTAATTTTCAATATTTCTAAGGCACTAAAGAGTTCATGTGTTAAGGTTAAACTGTGTGAATCACCTGACACAGTAAAAAAGAGTTGCAGTAACAGTTTCGAAAGGTTTCTGAAGCTTCCCATGCAATCAAATGTACATATTTGTGCTTTTTCTTCTGGATTTCAAGGTTAATTATCATTTTATTTTAGCTAAAACTGTGACGTCTGTCTTATGCATCAGTGTTGTGAAAAGGATGGGTCCAAACTTTTGCGCCTGTGTGGATTAATTTGCATTTTAAGTAATTTTGCCAGAGAGACTGGAAATGAAATACCAGACCTGTGTCACTGTTACTGTCTAAACTCCATGACACAAATTTATGTTCATCTTTCCTTCGGTTATATTAAGGCACTAAACATGTGGGACTGTTCCCTTTAAGGTGCAAACTTGTAAAATCACCTGTTGGACGTGGTTTTTAGGCTAACATTTTCTAAATCCGCATGTTTGTGTCTTTATTCTGCCCTATGGTCGTTTTTCTTCTTTGTTTAATGGCTTTTCATCTGCCAGCGCTACAAAGACAAATAAATGCTGCTTGTTTTTCTCACTCGCTGATAAATATCCCCCCCCCCCCCAATCATTTTTATCAGTTCAGCATCAGAGAGGAAACAGACTTACCCTGAATGTGACTCACAGCTAGTCAGTGATCAGAGCTTCTTCCTGTTTGTCACTTTGTTTACTGGTTTCCATGCTGACCAGTTTCAGGCATGGCTGGCTGCTCCAGTACAAAAGAAAGTCTTTTTGTTCCCTCTCAGAGGATTGACAGCAGGCTGTGGTTGGTTTTGTTCAGTTTAGCTAAAGTGAGAAGTAAAAACAGTGGATGAATGTCCTGCTGTCTCTTCTTTGTCCACTAGGTGTCGGTAATAATCTGTGACAGTTTTCATTTCTGTAACGAAAATGTTTAGTTTTCATCTTTTATTCTACTTTTTAAATTTCACCAGTGAAACCAGAACTTTTAATGACACATTAAATACAAATTATTTGTTTTAATGCGAATGTAAAGTTATTAAATAAATGCAGAAACATCAGGAGATTTTCAGTAAAGTATCTACGAACCATAATATTTGAGGAGTTTATATAATATACAGATTTTCTTAGACACTATTGAACATTTATTTCCTGTTTAGTGAACAAGTGTTTTGTGATATTTCAGTCAATCTGCATTTTCACTCTTATTAGCAGTGGTGGAAAAGACATAAATACAAATATGAAACACAGTGCTGTGCAAAAGTCTTGAGCTGCCAATGATGTTTTTATAATGAGAAACAGGTGCAAGCATACGTGGAGATACAGCATATAAAGCAAAGAAGAGTTTGTCAATATTTGATATGACCGCCTTTATTCTTTAAACACCGTCTGAACTTTATTTCTGTAAGCAGTCTGCAGGAATACTTCCCCTAGTTGATTTGTAATCACGTTCTCTTGTAATTCAGTTAACCTCAGCCTTCACCCCTCATTCAAAAGGGCTCTTTGACAGCTGCCCTTTCACTGAGAGTATTTGTGATGAAGCTTCAGTGAACAGTAGCTGGACCAGCTGAAGGGTCGGGTGCATCTCTCAGGCCCCTTGCAGGATTTTTCCCAGTCTCTTGTGGACATGACTTTCAGATACTTTCCATCTACTGTAGATCGTTTTTTTTTTAGGCCTGATACTTTTTCTTCTTTTGTCCTTCACTTGTCCAGTTTGCTCAGACAAATGCTGCGATATGCCAAGTTTTTGGCTGTTGGAGCAGAAATACTATTTTATGTCTGTCAAACTGTGTTATATTTGGCATTTTTCATAGATTCAACTAAGAAATTGGGAACAAAGGATGTGTTTCTGTGACAGGCTGAAACAAAGTGTCTACAGATACAGTTAAGTGGCTTAAACAAAACAAAAAAACATTCCTCTGAAAATAGTCAGATGGCGTGGACTTACTGGCCCTGTGATTGGCTGGTGGCCCATCCTCACCCTCCAAAACTTTGGAGAATTATTGCTCAAGACCGCTTTAAAGAATTACAAGAATATCTGACAAAAAATTATGGTTGCTGGTGTCAGTATGTCAGTAATTTACTGAAAACTGTACTTTAAAGTTTGTATTTTAAAACTGATCAAACATGAAACTTTACTTGTCATATTACAGAGTAAAAGGTTGTTAAACGCAGTAATAGTATAAGTAGATTGAGAGCGGAGGACTTGAGGTGCTGAATTATTTCTTGTAGACGATGTGATATCTCGGCCGCTCAGACTAGAAGCAGCTCTGTTTTTGTTGTATAAGAAGTTTGATCATGAATATTCAGAACCAGCAGCAGAGAAACATCAGTGGAAATGTTAGAAATGAGTCACAGCTCCTCAGCTTTTTTTAAATGTCCACATCGCTTTGTAAAAGCACTCTCTGCAGGTCTCGTTGGAGAGGTTTGTGTTCTACTTTCTTCTGTGATTCTATCTCTGTCAGGGCGTCATGTTTGACGAGGACGCACAAAACTCTCATCTGAGCTTCCTGATCATTCACTGGAAACTCACTGAGGAAGTTGCACATCATGGATTAATGTGGAAGTTTAAAATAGATGCAAAGATTTAAATTATAAGGCTGCCTCGACCTCCTCCTCTAACCTCCACCCACTCAGCTTCACATCCTCACTTCTCTGCCCTGATCAGCTGTTACCTCTGAAAGACTCTCCGAAGCACAGCCTCAGTCAGTTTGGCCAGCCAGCCCTAATGCCTTAATAAATAATGTTTTAATACATTTAAAATAAACTTTCTGCATCTGAGGTTTTAGTTTATCCATCGCTGATGTAGTTTTCTTGCATAAAAAAGTCTCTCCTCATAAAGTACGAAAGAGTAAAAGTAATGATAGAAAGGAGAAAAATATGTCTAAAAATGAATAAATAAAATTTACACAGAGTCATTTCAATGTGACAACATAAGCTGTAAACATATCAATAACAACAACTTCACACCGTTACGCTCCCTTAGCTGTAGTCACCTGGCCGTGGCGTATTCTGCGACCTGTAGATCCACCACAGCTGCCATCCATCATCTGGATCTCAGGATCACTGAGATCCAGATGATGGATGGGAGCTGTCCTCCACATGTCTCATCCGGATCTGGCCAAGTGTCTGATTCAGCAAAAGAGTCGAGGTTTGTGCCGGCAGAGAGGTGACGTATTTGGAAAAGAGCTGCGGGGAGTGACGGCAGGTCCACGTGCTGCAAACCGTGCAAGGTGAAGGTGATGGAGGGGCGATGATGTCAGAGGACACAGAGAACAGGTGTGCTCTTACACTGTGTGCTGATCTGCAGACAGTTATCTTTACATATGTGTGCATGTTTATTTATTTTCATGACATCTGACATGATATGTTCTGTTTCACATTAACAGTAACACATTTGCGAAACTTCTTCTCCTGCTTTGCTCTTGTTTTTTCATCCTAATGACGCTTTAATCTATTAGCCTACTTTTTTTATGTAATACACTCTTACTCAACATATTATGAAATTATTGCTTGCATATTTTTACATAACTCTGCTTCCTTCTTTTCTGCTCATTTTTGCCTGTTATTAATAATAATTTCATGCTGTGACACAGTTTTTTTTTCCTTCTTCTCCTTGATGGATTAATTAAAGATTCAAATGAAGTCATCTCCACGCTGATTAGATGAAACTGAATTTCATGAATTGAAGCCACAAGGGTTTAGATCTTCATACTAGCTGAAACTGTCAGTTTAAATTCTTAAACAATGGTCTGAAAATGGTTCTAACTGGACTACATTTAACATGTGAGCATGAAAACAATCATAACTCATAATCATAACACCAAAAATATCTGAATAAAATCCATCCTTATTGAATGTAAGTGCTGTGTTGTTGTCTCCTCTGAGACTCGTTTGTATTCCCCTTCGGTCTGACGGTGCGGTCGTCTTCCTGTCCGTCCGTGGCTGGACTTTTGAGCTGGCCAATGCTTGCTGATGTCATCCCCCAGACTTCCTGTATCCAACACAACCACGCTCCTTATCCCAAGTCTTCTCTACCACCTCATTTTACAACATGTGGTTTGTTTGCGTGGCTGTTTCTGGGTCTTTTTCATTGTCACGCATGATTCCTCTGTATTGATATCATGTTCTTTTAGTGCTTAAGGACACGTATGTGAATTTTAACTGAATTTAAATGTGGATCCTGAGTTTCCTCATTTGTGTCCTTGTACTAGTGTGCAGAAATAGCTCCACAACTTTTTATGATCATTAGTTTGGCTTAAATAAAAGCCTAAAACGGGCAACACAGGTACCAGTGCAATTTTCCATAAAAGCATCTTATTTGGTTGCACTGCCTTTAGCGAGAAAGACTAAAGAGACTGACTTCATTAATTTGATTTTACTCCTTGTGAAATTCCACATCAGTAAATGCAAGTTTTCATGAGGGAAACACAACATGTGGCTACAAGCTGCTCTTTGCATAGAAATAAAGCTTTAAAAATGGGCATTGTTTTTAATGTCTTTATTTAATGTCACTGTAACTCGCGCATCTTTTTTTTTTATGTCATGTTTGCATCTGTTATGATCTGTTTATGTACACTGTCATTTAAAGAGCTTTATTCTATATTCAGTACCTCTTTTTATAAAAGTAAAGAGTAAAAAAAATAAGGAAATGCATTCGGCTTAGGAGTCTGCCTCCAGTGGCCATTAGAGGAACTGCAGTTTTTGGCTTCATTTTTCAGATTTGGAGGATTCTGCTTGAAAACATCTACAAATCTCCTTTTTTCAGATGCTCATATTTCTTATTTATAATTGTAATTGTTCATTTTTTATACTACACTGTAAATATTGTAATTGTTTTCGTATTTATGTTGTTCCTGATGTGTGTTATTGTTGGTCTTCACCGAGGTTTAAGTGCCGGATGTGCGGCGATGATAATAAAAACCCTTGAATCCTTAGGGGTCACTTCCATCTCACCCTATCCCAGCATCATCCTCTGTCACACCAATCCTCTGCATGTCCTCCTTAACTCCTTCCATAAGTCTTCTCTGAGGTCTTTCTCATTTCCAGCTGCCTGGCAGCTCCTTCTTCTCTTTTTCCCATATATCCACTAAACCATCTCAGCTTTGCCTGTGATAGAGTCTCCTCGAGTCATGTCATCCCCGTTTCTTTTATCTTGTACCCAGAATAATCTGCAGGTAAATTAAAACCTCATGTCAGACTGTCTTTGACCCTTTTTGCCAGTAATGTAAATTGATGGAAATGCGTTCCTGTTGTTTGCTGTCTCTGGAGGCATCCGGTGTATTTCATGAGTCCATTATGCTCGGGCATGAATTAGTGCCAGCAGCAGCTGAGCAGCAGGACCACAATAAAAGGCTGAATTATTCCTGACAGTGAGACTAATGGCAGTATTTTTCTTGCCTCACAAATTCAGTATAACTAAATTTCACTTACAGAGATGGATTAGCTGTTTGTTTACTGAGGCTTGAAGTGCAGCAGCTCCCGCAGAGCGGTGATCAGTCCACTAATCAAGCAGATAAATTAATAAACATCTAAGTTTCTGTTTCTGCTGAACTTCACTGGAGGAAAATATCAAAGCTGGCCTTGGCAAACGCACATGATGGCAGGCTGACGTGGCACAGAGAGGGCGACGTGTGCAGAGTTTCACCTTAAATAACACAAAATCCTCTAGTTTGGTGCCAGAAAACAGCACTCGGCACACTGAGTTAACCAAAAAGGACAA